GGGAAACATGTATTCAAGTGTTTTCCTTTAATAATAATAATAATAATAATAATAATAATAATAATTCTAGTCCTTCATTAGTGGTCACAGGACGCTGCCCACAGGACACTGTTGGCTGGATGTTTTTGGTTGGTGGACTATTTTCAGTCCATCAGCGACACCGAGGTGTTCCAGCTTTTTTGGAATGTGTTGTTGGCATCAAATTCAAAACATACATTATTCAAAAAACAATAACATTTCTCAGTTTTAACATTTGATTTATTGTCTTTGAACTATTTTCAAATAAATATAGAGTTTAAATGATTTGCATATTATTGCATTTTGTTTATATTTACCTTTTGCACAACGTCTCCATTTTTTGGGGAATGGTGTTGATTATTAATGTTGATAAAAGGAAGTGAGATGAAACAGGACCCACTAGAACTTTTGTAATATTGGAACGATGCCTGTTCTACATGTAGATGAGAAAGATCTGAATGTTCCTGTTCATAAACTTCATCTGAATAAAACATCAGTGTGGAGCAGGAGGTCAAACATCATTATTTACAAATCAGGATCACTTCTACAAGATTCTTATTTAAAGCAGCTCTGTATCTTCAATCAGTCTGCAGAGCAAACCACTGACTGCAGCTTCACTGCCACTGAACATCTGTATTAATCCAGGTTTCCTCTTTTTCCAGAAATATTATCCAAAGCCCAGATTTAGATTTAAAAAATCTGTTTTAGGCCAAAACCTTCTGAAAATGATCCTAAAACATCCCTCTATTACATTTACTCATGTAGTTTGAACTTTTCACTAAAACAGTGCATGAGGACTCATGTCTCAGACATGAAATGCTGAGTTCATGTCAGAACTGAATATAATCCACTGTAAAATGTAATAAAGACATGGATCTACTGCTTCTCAGTGTTCACTAATGACTGCACCTCCATAGACCCCTCTGTCTAAATCCTGAAGTTTCTAGATGACACTACACTCATTGGTCTTATCTGAGATGGTGGGGGGTCTGCTTATAGAAGGGTGGTGGAACAGCTGGTCTTCTGGAGCCGTCAGGACAACTTCAATCTGAACACAAATCAGTGGGGATGATGTTGGACTTCAGGAGAAGACTGTGATGGCAGAAGAGCGATTCACCTTTCTGAGAACAACAACAACCAGGGGCTTCAGGTGGGACACCAGCTTTATCTCCACTGCCATGAAAGTCTAATGAGGGTTAAAACAAACCAACTCCAGATTTTTTCTCTCACTGCATTACGTTTCTGAACAATGGTTGCACAGAAGCTCTGCTTATGGTACTTCACAGGTTTAAATTTCTTATTTTATTTTATTTTATTCACTTCGGATCTTCAGGTGTGAAGGGTCTGTTGTCAGGTACTGTGTACGGTGAGCTGCTCTATAACTAAAGACAAAATCCTTGAATGTACAAACATACTTGACCAATAAAGCCTGACTCTGATTCTAAAGTACACAGAGGCCTCACTTAAGTGGGTCTCTGCATGGTGAAATCGCTCTTCAGATTGACAGAGAATGTGCTGTAGATGATTTTTGATAGGGGTTCTATATAGCACCACGAAGGGTTCTGCAATTGTTAGGATATCAAGGTTGTAACAAAAGAAGAACCCTTTTTGGTTCTCTGGTTTCACCAGAGACCCATTTCACCAGAGACCCACTTAATCATGCAAACAGTTCTCTGAGTGTTCAGTTCTATATAGAACCATTTTCTTTGCCAAAGAACCCTTGAAGAACCATCATCTTCTAAGAGTGTAGCTCAAGCAGTTTGCATTAATGTCCCTGTAGTTGCTGAAGAATAAGTGTTAGTATGTAATAAGCCTGGGATTTTAAGGGGTTTACATAGATCAGAACAGAACCCTGTAAATATCTAAGAGCTGAGCGCTTTTTAAACAGGTTTTTTTTGTGGGAGCACAGTTTGAACTAATTCAGTAGAATGGTGTGTGTACAGTGAGGAGGATTTCAGTCATCTGGCAACCCGGGCACTCCTTCAGCTGCTGCTGAGCTCTCAGTGTACAAGGAAGCAGTAAAGTAATGGACACAGAAACTGTTCTTAAGATGAGAACTTCTGAAGTCTTCTGTGCTGAAAATGGATCACTGTACAGTGAAATACGATCTGATCTCAGTCTGATATTAAATATGATCTGTGTGAGCGGCTGTTTATCAAAGTCCATCACACTTTCACTCTGATCAACCTCTGACTGAATTTATACTACACAGACAATGATGACTTATTCACTGTGTAAATCAACAATATTATTTCAGGATTATATGAAACATTATTTAATGAAATAATGTTTCATATAATGCCGAAATATATTTAGATCTGTGATCTCATCATGTAGATCTAAAATCTGTATGAGAAAGACACCTTTGTAATACAGCTCTAATTATTCATCTGAATTAAATCACTGAATTAATTTAACATCAGTAGTTTGTTCTATGATTAAAAAACAGAAAGTGACTTTCTTTTATTAAAATTTTTCAAGGTATTATATCATTTAGTCCAGCAGATGGTGCTGTAGATCTGACGCAGACTCTTATGTTATATATTTACATATATTAACTGCTGAAGAGGAAAAACAGCATTTATAAAAGCATTATTATGATTGAGGAATGACAAAAATACAGTACAAGAGTGCAGGTTAAGGTGCAGTTGTGCTGGCTTTATAAACACTATATAATCACTAGATTTGTCATAATTTATATAATCAACTCAATCTTACTTAAAGGCCCACTGGGTTACATTTATCCTGAATTATTAATAAACCTTATTGATAAACCTATTATCTATTTGTAACAGGTATTTAGTATATAATAATAATTAAATGCTGAGTTAAAGAGAAACGTTTTTAGATGTTTATTAAAAGTCAGCACTGGGCTTGACTGTCTAATAAAAGGTGAACTGAGCTCCACAGTTTAGAAACAGAATAACTGAAAGAGTCTCTCCACGTTTTCTGTATTTTACTGAAGGTGTTTGTAGGTCAGTAACTGCAGATCTAAGATCATAAACAGACAGACACTCTGTGATGTAAAGCGGAGCTTTAAGGTCATTTACAGCCTTAAAAACTAGCAGCAGAACTTTAAACTCTATCCTGAACGATACAGGCAGCCAGTGCAGCTCTTTTAAATCGGGACTGATCTGATCTGTCTGTGTTGTTTTTGTTAGGAACAATTTACAATAGTTAAAACATCATTGTGAACACAAGTATTAGTGTTAAAGTAAGTAATAGTAACAAACCTGAGGTCCTACTACTTGGAACCAAAGCAGAGAGATCTCAACTCTGCAATTTTGAACTAAATTTAGATGGCTATACAGTCATTCCAAGCATCACTGTAAAAAATCTAGGCGTCATCTTCGATTCCAGTCTCTCTTTTGATACACGTTTGCAACATTGTTAGAACTGCATAAAAAACTTGTGTGTGCCTTTATAACCTCCAGGCTGGACTACTGTAACACCAATTTAGCTGAATGCTCCAACACTTTAATAAATAAGCTCCAACTTGTCCGGAATGCAGCTGCTGGAGTCCTTATAACCAAAATGTTTGACCATATATCCCCAGTCCTGTCCTCATTACACTGGCTACCTGTTAAACCTTGTGTGGAGTATAAGATTCTTCTCTAAACGTAGAAATAGTTTAATGGCCCCACAGTATCTTAGTAAATTAATTCAGTCATACGAACCCACACAAAATAACGGCCTGCCGACGGTTCCTAGAATTAGAAAAACCACAGCAGGGGGTCGAGCATTTTCCTATGTAGCCCCAAAATTGTGGAATCATCTCCCAACCTCTGTTCGGGACTCAGACACACTCTCTACGTTTAAAACTAGACTCAAAACTTTTCTGTCTGCACAAGCATTTTGCTCATACCAGTTGCTCCACTATTAACTCAGCAATATCTCTCCATAAACGGTCCTGTCCTGTTAATCAATCTCTCTCTCTCTCTCTCTCTCTCTCTCTCTCTCTCTCTCTCTCTCGCTCTCTCTCTCTCTCTCTCTTTTCGCTCTCTCTCTCTCTCTCTCTCTCTCCCTTTAATTGAGCCACCAGAGCTGCTACAGTCACTAGAGCTCCATCTCTGTTGGCTGATCTGCACCGGTTTGACCACTATGAAGCTTCATGCTGTACAAAGCTGTGCAAACCTCACCTGCATGAACTGACCCTCCTGCTGATGATTTGTGACAACACCTGTTATACAGCTGTTATAAGCGCTATAAAAATAAACTTTGACATAGACTACTAGTAAACAATGTCAGTCGTTTCATTTTTTCATCTTTTTTTATTACATTCATTGGAATAAGCTTGGACATTTATTGGACAGTGTTTGCCATTCTGCAATCAAGAAAAGTACATTTCTTTTTAATATTCATTCTGAGGTAGTTTCAATTCACCACATTTAATGGTTACTAGATTTGCACTTGTTTGCACTGTAGGTTGACCCAACCAAGGGCCGATCACAGTATAGAATACAAATAATAAATAAATAAATAATAACTAAATGATGTGCAATGTCTGTAATTCTGTCTTGATATTTCCAGTGGGTTCTTCTTTTATTTACAGTGTGCAGTGTTAAAATTGTAATAACAAAAATAACAATAAAAACATAGGTAAAGTTAATGTTCCACAGAAAAAAAACACATTAGGTAAATATTATTAACAGTGCAAAACATAAATATACAATAATAATATACAACTATTTCAGAAATAACAGAAAATCTACAGATTACAGATCATACATCATCATGAAAAATGCACTTTTAGAATTTTTTTTTTAAAGAACCTCCACCATGAGGTTTATTTTATATCATGAGGTTTTGGTCTTATATGATGGCTATATTGAGCATTTAGCTGCTGTATGTTTAGCTGAATTAATCTGTAGCCTTTGCCATCAATTTACTAGTTAACAGAGACTTTAGGTAAAACTGTAGGTAACACAATACAATTTCTCATTGTAATTTCTCATCTAATCACTAATATAGTCAACTACAGAGCCTGTAGCCTAAACTGAGCATCTACTGGAACTCACCTAAAGCATGCTGATTTAGCCAGCAACGTTACCAGTAGTCCAAAATATGGAGATGTATGCAAGAGGAACCATTTAAATGAAAACCTGACGCAGCATCAACTCTGCACACTGACTGAAATTTGGCTATGACTACCTTATAGATAGTAATAGTGATAGTTAATTAAATCTGCCTATGGGGATTCATTTGGGATACCGCAGTAGGTACTATATATCTATGCAGTAGCTTATATTATATTATATTATATTATATTATATTATATTATACGGTTATAGTAATAGTAAACTTTTTTCCTTTTTCTTGTTTTTAACAGACCCCCTTTGAGAAGACCACCACATAGCTAACACAGGTAAACTGAAATTGAGACCCCTGTTTTAGAATGAGATCATTTGACTTACTAAAGTCATTTAAAACAAGTAACAAACGTCTAGAAATTTGAGAAATTCTTTAATAATAAGCTTTTATGTGCATCTTATATTTAGATATATCAAATGGATTTAAGATTTCACTCGCAGTGCAGCATATCTTTCAGTAGCTGGACTAGCAGTCAAGCACAGAGGTTCCCAATGGTTGTATCATGTCATTTTGCAATGCATGCTGGGTATCGTAGTGGACATAAAAGCATATTAAAGTGTATTCTGTCAAACCCATGCGGCTGAGGGATTCAATGCTGCACAACAGATTGTGACATAACACGATGTAACAAATAGCCTATTTAAAGTTTTAGACCATGTCCCTTTAAGTGTCATGAAAATTAACCTTCATTCATCATCCAGACCATCAGATGGTAAATCTTTTGCTTTTTCTACTGTATGGTAGTATATAGTTCACATGGTAGAATGGTATATAGAGGTAGTGCATAGTTTGAAGCTATGAAGATCACACAGTAAGAATTAAGTGACTGATTATGACCCCCCTACAACTTTCTGTCCTATAAGCAGGACAATTCAGTGCAATTCAGCAGAACAGCAACAAAGAGAGACATGAAAACCATACAAACCCACATAAAAACAAACCTAATATATACTTTAGCCCTATTTCACTGAGGACAGCACATTCCCATCACAATTCCCAAAATGTGACGGCTTGAAGAAGATTGGAGTATTATTGATCACCCTACAGGTTTCATATGAAGGGTAGTGGTATAAATTAAGTGTTTTTACCCATCTCCTCACTCATTCAGTGTCTCCCTTTCTTTTCCAGTAACCTAAAAGGAGAAATAGAAAGACAGCATGAATATTTCTATTTGAACTGAGATTCACAGTTTTTCTCAACTGCTTTTGCACAAACCTCAAATGACAACCACTGCTTTTAAACTCCACATTACAGTCAACATTCATTCAAATGTTGATAGCGCAAATACTAAACACAGTTGATTCAGCTGGCACAGAGATGCATTTGAGGAGATCAGAATGAACTATATTTCATTTCTATTAAATCATATTACTCTCGCAAGTATTTAAAATATCCAAATTTTACACAAACTGCAATCACCTGATATTGCTGTAATCAGGGGTGATTTAATGCACAGGCTTATCCGAGCTGAAGTGCAGGAGCCCCGGATAATTCAGGACCTCTGATTGCCTGTTTTTTTATGAGACCACCATCTAGGCCTACCCAAATTGATCACTGGCATACCCAATAAAATGGCTAAAGAATATTTTATTAAACTGAAGAAATTTGGTTTGTTTTCTGTGAGTGCTGACAATGTATTATGGCCAATCAAATCATGCACTCTTTGCCAAACTCCGCCTTCTTTTCTTAGCCCTCCAATCACTGCACAGCAACCAGTGCTATCCATTAAGCCTTCAGTTTTTTATCATTGCACCACTGTTTGAATCTGAAGCCCCAGTTGCGGTTAACAGATGAAACTGTGGGTGTTTAAGAGTGACATTCTGTCCTGTAGAGTGTGTCGACTTCTACCCATCCACAGCCCAAAAAACACCATCGTCGGTTTTCTGTGAATTTGATATTTACGCATTTTTTTCTATAAAGACCGAAACAGGCTTCATAAAAATGTCAAGGCAAACATCTAATGTTACTTTAAAGCATCAGAGGTAAGACATGAAAGGACCATGAACATTTGTAATGCTCAACGTGGCAGTACGTTTTTGGCTACGATGACTAGGTTGCTAAATTTCCTTCAGGATCAATAAAGTATCTATCTATCTATCTATCTATCTATCTATCTATCTATCTATCTAGGTTTGGGTTTTTAAGTTTGCTGTGTCTGCCACTTTTGTATATCTCAGCTGTTTTTAACTTGGCTAGTTACCTTGTCTAGGCAAATGTGTTTGTGGTGAGTGGACACATGATTCATAGTGATGAGGGCTGCAGTGTTGGTTTTTTAAAATTGATTTTTATATTTTTATAGTATAGACATGATTCTGTAGAGGAAATCACTGCATGGGCTCAGAAACACTTCTGAAAACCACTGTCTGTGAACACAGTTCATCACTGCATCACAAATGCAAGTTAAACTCTACAAAGAAGAATCATACATAAACAGGATCCAGAAACGCCGCCACCTTCTTTGGGCTCGAGTTAATTTAAGATGGACTAAAATTTCAGTTCAAAAGCAATGCATCAGTGAAGGCATCATTAATGATGAACGATATATACAGGTTTTCAGGCAACATATGCTGCCATCCAGATGACGTCTTTTTCAGAGAAGGCCTTGCTTATTTCAGCAAGACAATGTCAAACCACATTCTGCATGTATTACAACAGCATGGCTCTGTAGGCAAAGAGTCCAGGTGCTAAATGACCTGCCTGCAGCCCAGATCTGTCACCAGTGAAAACATTTAGTACATTATGAAACAAAAAATATGACAAAGGAGACCCCAAACTGTTGAGCAGCAGAAATCCTATATTATAAAAAAAAAGGGAAAACATTTCAATCTCAAATACTTCAGTGATATGGTACACAGTGCTAAACACAACCCCATCCCAACCTTTTTAGAATGTGTTGCTGGCATCAAATTCAAAATGGACAAATATTAAAAAAAAATACAATTTTTGATATGTTGTCTTTGTGCTATTTTCAATTAAATTGCATTATGTTTTTATTTACATTTTGCAAAGCGTCTTGTTTGGAAATGGGGTTGTATTTCTATACTTAAGTATGCTTCTCTTTCACAAGGGATGACCATTTGGAAGTGATATATTTTGTTCTATCGGTGGTTTTTCAGAACATGTGACAAAGCAATCAAGAAAAAACTAAAGCTAGGTTAGATTTACGTTAAAACTCTGTGACAATGCGGCAACAGATTTTTGTTTACATAATACAGTGTAGAGACTTACTGTGTCAACTCAGCATGAAGGCGTTGTTTTTTTGGAGTTGTCTTTCTTTCTCAGAGACTGTAAAATATGACAACATTCAAATTTAAACACCTAAATATTCCTAATACAGTGGACTAAAGAACACACATACACAACCTCACACACAAAGTCTCACTTACACGCTTTGTGCTTTCCAGATAATGTACAATGGTAAATGATATACATCATAATGGACGGTTACACAAGAGAAAAAACTAGGGATGGGAGTTTAATCTGGTCAAAGATCTAAAAAAAATAATCTAAAAATATACAACACTATGATGTCAGGACTCCTAGGAGTCTGTATGTGTGATAATATCTAAAATGTATGCAACCAAAAAAAACCTTCCTCCCTTACCAGACTATCTTCCAAATGAAAACTCCAACACAGCCAATGAAAGTGAGCAGCAGAATAGCCACGATGCCAGCCACATCAAACCATGCTCTGCCTGAAACATCTGTGTTACATCATTGTAAACTTTCATTAGGCGCATCATAAACATGGCCCTCATTCATGAAACATGAGAAAACAAATTTGTGCGTAAATCATTCTAAAACACAACTTAGGTAAATGCATTTATTTATGAACAAAACTGACACCTGTTCCTGACCATGTGTAAAGTGTGACTAATTTCTGAAAGACTTGTAGTTGTTCTTTGAGGGAAACTGACTGGACTGCATTTTGATATACATATAAATTAAGTAACTATTGATGATTCAGAAAGTGAAAGTTTCCTTTTATTATAGCCCATTTCTCAGAACATCCTGCAGCGAATGGACAACAACCTAAATTAAATGATTTAAAAAATAAGCTAGACCATCGATGTTGCATAGCTTACAATCAAGCATGCACAAGAACCCAGTCCATTATAAAACTCAAGAACGGCTTGTGAAGGTTTGCTGGCTGTGTTTTGGTGTAGCAAAGAGTAAACAGGTCAGAGACGGTTGATTCATACTAGCCTGCACTATCATGAACTACACTGCCATGAAACAGGACCTGCCAAAAGAAGAGGGTCTATTTCCACCTGACTGCACTAGTCTGCCTGCACCCTCACCACCATGAACATCTTAATAGCAGGAAAACGCAGAAGCAGGTCCAGTGATTGATTTTTTAAATGGATTGTAATTATTACATTAGATTTTAAAGAAAAAAGAATATAAAAATTAATTAAACAATTTTATTTTAATAAAGTGTCAGTACTTTATTCCAGACACTGAAAAACACACTTGTTCAATCTATATTGATAAACCACATTAAAATTATACTGTATATGTTTGTGTTTTGTGTTACAACCTCGCTGTAAGTACTTTTTAAAATACTTTGATGTAACATAAATAGTACAAATGGCACAACTTACGCTGCACACTTTACTGTGTGGTTTTTTCAGCTCTCCAGTTGCATGAGGAGCTTATCAGTGTCACAGTCAGGAGTTATACTCACTAAAAAGCTTCTGTCATTTTTGTCAGTAATTTGGATTGCTGTTTATGTGGTGCTCATTTGTAATTTGCAGGTATTGATTACGGTGATTATGGGTAACACCACTGCCCTACACCCAGCAGAATGGAGTTTGATTCCCTGCCTGGGCAAGCCCACCATGCTACACCAGTAAGAGTCCTTTGGCAAGACTTTCACCTGCCTCTGTATCATTATTGTAAATCTCAGTCAAATGCATGAATGTCATGTCCTTGTAAAGGACTGCACCTGTACGTCCAGTTCCTGAACAGTAGGTATTCATTAACACATGTTGCACTAACAAATCTAGTTTTTACAGTTTATGTGAATCTGATCAAATGTTTTTGTGAAGATCCATTTTACTTGCAGTTCATTTGATATTTGCTCTGGTGTCTACACAGGTTTGATTAATTCACTAATTTTCCCTTTAGATACAGATTCCTCCTACCTGACACGACTCTGGGATCAGAAAGACGTAGCGCTGTCTCCAGTCCAGGATGCTGAATGATGCAGGTGTACTCATTCTTTTTCAGCTCCTCAGGTGAGACAGTCAGAACGCTCCTCTTCTGGAAGGTTCCATCCTGGTTGGGTAGCGTCTCTCTGAGCTCCACGTCCTCATGCAGATCCTCTCCATTCTTCTGCCAGGAGATCATCACTGCTTTGGGGAAGAAACCTGTAGCATGACACACCACTGGAGAAGAAGAGTCCTTCTGGAACAGAGACGCCTCAGGATGGACTGGAAAGAGAGAGCGAGAGAGAGAGAGAGAGAGAGAGAGAGAGAGAGAGAGAGAGACAGACAGACAGACAGACAAACGGCAAGAGACACAGTGAGACCGACAGATAGAGAGAAGAGAGACAGTGTGGAAAACATTTCGGTAACACTTTACAATACTGGTCCACAAATAAGCATGCATTAATACTTAAGTAATGCTTTCATCACAGTGCATTAATGCATAGATTAATAATTAAAACATCAAAAAAAATGTAATAACTAAGCATTAACATATTTCTAGCTCATTCTATTAATTAATACTATGATTTGATATATTACTCAAAAAATCCTTACTGTAATGTATAATGTCTGTGTAGAGTAACACAAATTATAGGTTAATAACTAATACACTATATCACAGATTTTAAACATTGTTTTGGGGCTCAGCTCAGATTGAAAATACTGCATGATGTGCTCTTTATTTGCATATCAGTAATGATGCAGCAGGAAAAAAATGCGTATGTAATGACAAATTACATACAAATGCAAATTCATGGCTTAATATATTTATGCATCATCCACATTATAGGCTTATAACCACAAAAGGTAGTAAACATGCTCAGAATGTTAAAACATGTTAAACATTATACTGCTTAAGTATAAAAACATTCATATCCATTAGCTTACCAATAATGTAATCTGTTAAAGGTAAACCAACAAAGCAAAAAAGCCTTTCTAACAGCACTGCAAAAAGTTTGTATCCTCAGGTTAAATACATCTGTAACAGAATAATAGTTTAATATATTTAGTAAAATAAGTCAGGCATTTAGCATGACAGTGACAGTTCAAATTCAAGTACCATTAGTTAATATATTTATATATATAGTATATCTACATTCAGCATTACTTAATGATGATGTGCCCCATCAAGTAAAGTACATATAAGCTAACAAATCTTGGTAATATATTAATATATCATTAATTAATTATGGACAGGATGCAGCCAAAAAGACTAGTGTCTGTGCTAATTCAATACCATCCAACTTTACTTTACTGTCATTCTTTTGTTATGCCTTTATCAGTCATCACTTCAATCACTGAACTACAAGCTTCCCAAAGGCTAAAGTCTCATTAAATAAATAACATTTAAATAATGTTGGAAGTTTAATGGGTTGGGGGGGGGGCAGTGGAAGCTTATTGTGAGCCTGATTTTGTACATAAAACAATTCATGAAGGAGAAAAACGTCTTTTGATTTAAAACACATTTAACCTGCATCGTTTTTTCCTGATATTTTATGCTGCAAGACACGTTTAAAACTGTGTGTTTCAATAAATGTTCTTCACTGATAATGCTGTGTAGTGTTCTTCAGTGATTTCAATGATCCTTTTTTTGCTTTTTGTACACTGTAAATTAATTACATATGAATGTATTAACTGATGATTTGTAAATACATATTTACGTCATGACTTTACTTGGCGGGGCACATCATAATGAATTAATGATAAATGTAGACAAGTATACATTATATACATTAGTATACAATGCCTACAAGACAAGTATACATTATATATAACGATGCACAGACATGTTAAGCAGTGAATTGTATCATATGTCCTTATCAAATGTGTCGTTACATACTGTCTTTTTTTCCTGGCACATCAATACTGATTAAATAAATGCATGAAAACTGTGCATGAAACCCACCCTTGTCACGTAATTGTAAAGAAATGTATAATAATCCATTAATCATTACATTACACACAATGTTAAAGGCATCAAAAGGACAATGTAAAGAATATCATGTCATAGAAAAACAAAACTTTTGTTAGGCAGCGATGCCTTTGAGTTTCCTGCTGATTAGTGTATTAGTTATTAGCCTATAATTTGTGTTACCCTACATCATCTCCATCAGACATTATGCATTATAGAAAGAATATGAATTAATATATTAAGTCATGGTATTAATAAACAGACTGAGTTAGAATTGTGTTAATAATTAATAAATGCCTTTATTAATGGTTTTTCACATTTGATTCAGTTTTATATTAATGTATACACATCATTATTTCCTGTTGTGTTAAATATTAGTCCATGCATTAATTCACTGTGATGAAAGCATTAGGTAAGTATTAATATGCTTATTTGTGGACCAGTATTGTAAAGTGTTACCAACATGGCATCAACATCCACTAAAATACCTTCACTACAAATCTTCGGTGTGTGAACATGATGCTTCAGAAATAATATACTGTGCACAAATAGTGTGATTTTTCATTCTCCACAGTAATGAGTGAGTTTCAATGATAAGGGTAAATAGTGTGAGTGAACAGTAGCTGCAGTTAGAGTAACAGATTAGATCACTGTACCTTTCCTCTCCAGACTGGATCTGCCATATTCCACATACTTCTGTAACCAATCAATACATTCATTCAGCAGGTAGACTTTTACATGAGCAGCCCCTTTGTTCTCTTCCCACTTCTGTTTGGTAATAAAAGCTTTCTGATTAGCTGCAGTCCAGGTGAGAGTGTCCAGCTCCAGATTGAGGAAAGCTTCTCCATCATAACCCTCCTCCCTGTATCCTGTCTTAGTTTCATCATCATGCAGCTCACAGCCGTACATCCTCTGCACTGTATGAATACCTGCAGATACACAAACACACACACACACACATACACACACACACACACACACACACACACACATCACAGTGATTACCATACAGAAAATACAACCACAACAACAACAAATTAGTACCCCACAGCATTCACTAAAACATTCTACATGTTCCTTTCACTAAATCATCAATTCAGCCTACACATTTCATACATGTACAGGTGTTACTGTAGAGCTGGTGTTCAGTGTTTAAAGCTCTAAGTGTGTTTATTCTCACCTTCAGTCTGATTGAAGCGCTGCATTAGAATATCCACACTGGCTTTGAAGTTCTCCTGAGCTTCCTGTGCTTTCTGTGTCTCTGTGTTCCAGTACTCTTCACTCTCTCCCTTCTCCATCCACTCAGTCTTTGGAATCATCTTCCTGATGTTACTGTCATAGTAAACAAACTGTTCTCCATCCACCAGACCCACCACAGTGAACTCTGGGAAGTGTATTCCTGGAGTAACTGCAGTGTAGAAGTACTGCAGAGAGTGAGAGGCTGAAAAAGATGAAAAATAACTACTGAAATCAATATACAAGTACAGCAACTGAATACTTGCGATCTTTGCTCAAATTCATTTTTCCAAGAGAAAAATATACTTTTTACTCCCTACATTTTTTATTTAGACCTTCAAACGTACGTGTTACAAATCTCAAAGAATGGGAGATTTTTCTCTCTGTTTTTTACATTCTATGATAGTCTGTCTTCGTGCAGGGTTAATACTGACAGATACTGTTAGGAGAGTTTTGAAGTGTTTTGAAACTCTGAGACTGGACTGAGAGCAGTTTTATATACAATACTCAATAGCACTGTTGTTGGGAACCTACAGATTTAGACGAGGCTGAAGTTTGTTACTTATTGGCAGCTCCCGATTCGTTTGGCTCCTTATTCGCAGCGTCTTATTCACCGGCTGAAGTTCGCTCCTCATTCGCAGCTTCTCTTTTAGCGAACGACGGCAAAAAGGGAGTGTTCACAAACGCCATTGGCTGCGCAGTTTTCCCTTTTAACAGACTCAGAGAGACTATTAATGCAGACATAATAATGAAGGAGATAGGAATGTGTGCTGTGTTTGCCTCACCATTGTGAATATGGAAATTATGACTATAAAGGAATAAAATATCTAATTCTGTAAGTATGTGATGTCCCTTCAATTTGTTTCCAATGTCTAATTTCATTGCAAGTAGTTTAGAGTTTGAGACTGAAGAAGAAAATAAGGGTGAGTTTATAGATTATATTTAAAGCTAATCTGAATCTAAATTTAATGTGATTAGATTGAGTAGTTTTTAGCTACTCAAACACAGAAAAATTCTGTCCCTGAAAGGAAAGCCTGGTTTTAGCCTGGTCCATGCTGATTAAACATTAAAATAACTGGCAACATGGCAGTAATGCACACAATGATTATTAATGATTATTACTAAAAAAGAATTGGCAACATGGCACATAGTGCAGTGGTGCCCGCAAGGAGAATGAATAGAAAGTTGAAATTCCTGGTGAAGGCCTTTTTCTCCTTGGGCCAGAATAATACTGTATCCTGCGCAGCCAATGGCGTTTGAGAACACTCCCTTTTATTTATTTTTTTTTTACCGTCGTTCTTTAAAAGAGAAGGCGCGAATAAGGAGCGAACTTCAGCCGGCGAACAAGACGCTGCGAATAAGGAGCCAAACGAATCGGAAGCTGTGAATAAGTAATTACAGCCTCGTCAGATTTAGACTGTTTTTGTTCTTTCAGCTTAAGTGACAGACAGGAGAAAGAAATGAGGTATGAGATGGGTGAAAGAAAAGAAGCTGCTAAGAGAAAAACAAGTTTCAGTTCTTGATTTTCACAGAAAAAAAAACTATATTCATGATGATCAAAAGGCCCATTTCACTATGAAAGCGCCCCAGACTGTATATACTGTACTGAGATCATTACTGATTCAAATCAGACTCACCTGCTGATGCCAGATGAACTTTCACTGCCAGAAAAAGTAAGAATTTCCTAACCGCTGTGCAGTAACCCATTTCAGCAGAGCAGACTGCAGCCTTTTTAGTTATTGAACTATCCTGTCGCGTCAAATAAATTCCTCCGTGTACAGTGAGAACTCAGTGAGGACGTGTTCAGGGTTGCCAGATAACTATGACGTCTCCCACTGAGGTGTTATTGTCACGCTTCCTGGTTCTCAGGCGGACACTCCATCAAGGACTCCACTTCCCAGAATCCTTCTGTCAGTCATGAGACTCTTCCAGCCAATCACAAACCACCCCTCAGGTCACAGTCACCTGAGTACCTGAACACCTGTTCTGCTCTGTATGTACACCTGTCTGTTTGGACCTTGTCTTTGGGAAGTGTTGTCATTGTTCCGTCAGTGCGCACCACGCTGTTTATTTTCCTGATTGCTGTTCTGTGTTTCGACCTCGCTTTGTCTTCTCCGGTTTCCGATTCTCCCTCCTGTTTTTGGCTCTGTTGTTTCGTGTATGATTCTTTATTTATTTATCCGTGCATGTCTGATTTGCATATTCTGATATACTAAAAGTCTAAAATCTGTTAAAAGTTTTTTATTTTTTATTTTTTTCTATTTATTTATTATTATTATTATTATTTTTTTTGCACAATAAGCCACCCTTCAGCGTGAGGAAAAAATGCAAACTTTAAAAACTGCTCCAACACACCTGATCCAAAAAAACAGACAACACTGTGTGAGTTGAAGTGAGTGTGTTAGAGCAGACCAGGGGGTCCTCCAGGACCAGAGTCTCACTACACAATTTCTAACATGGCTGGATAAAGAAACAGTGTTTTCCTCAATTTGGCAACTATGCAAATCTCCTGCCCAGAGCTGCACCAACACCAGCCTCCATCCAATCACATTTAGGGAAGCTGTTCAGGATCACTAGTCACTAGGATCAAATGAACTCTCCAGCTTGATTTCAAAATATACTCCTCACTTTCACAAATATATACACACACACACACACACACACACACACACACACACACACACACATTATATATATGAAACGTTTACAATGTGGTGTTTGTCAGAATAAATATACAAGGAAATAAATAAACAATAATAATTATAAAGGTAACAATGCGGGATCCTGTCTTTCATCTCCATTTGCTCTCAGAAAAAGTGATCTGCATCACATACAGTGAGCTGTGTAGCCAAACAGAGTTCTAACAATGTTCTCCAGTTCTGACAGTTTCTCGCTCTGATGTTCCTAAATGCATCCTCCATAACCTGAAGCAGGTGATCTGCTGATGAGGTTTGTGCTCATACACCCCCCAAAATCCAGAGAGAAAAACTTTGTTTTGGTGGGGGGGGAAGTGTTAATCAGAGCCTTAGTTTGTTCTGGAATGAAGCTTGAAGAACCTCAGCAGGGTCACACAGGCCCAACACAGAGCAGAGACTGTAACTGTACTGCTCCTCTCCTCCTCTGTCCCTACACTCACCCTCTTCCTCTCTTCTTCATCATACAGCAGGTAGCAGTGCAGAACCGGTAGCTACTGTTATTTATTCATATGTGTGTTGCTGCTTTGAAGCTCATTGGCTGAATATTGGCAGGTTTGGCCTGTTTATACATAACATCATGGTTTTATAGTACACAATCTCCTCAGTTCTGAGACTGGACACTTTATAAACAGTGTTTAGTTGTCAAACTTGTTCTCTGCTGTTTATTAAATAGCATTATACATTTTTTTTGTTTACTCAATGGAAAAAAAAAAACTGTAAAATGTGGCTTCATGTTTCAGTTACTTGTCAGAATGCAAGTTATTCTACAAATTAAATTAAATGAAAATAAATGAACAATTTTAGATAAACTTTTAAACAGTGTGCTGACACATTTTTGTTTGCCAATTTTATTTCACTACCTACTGTTTTTTTTTCTTTCTCTGTTGTTTTCATTCCACAGTGTAAAGCACTTTGAGCTGTTTTTTTAATGTATGAAAGGTGCTGAATAAATAAAGATTTTTATTAATATTGTTATTATTATTAGTAGTAGTAATAGTAGCATTTTCAGTAAGTGCATTTTCAGTGTAGATGAGAGGCTACTATACTGTACCTTTCAGAGTGAGAAAAATGCAAATAAAAGAAGTAATAAATTTAGTCTAACCACATACATGAAAAAAACACACAAATCCTATATTCTACCACAGTGCTTCTTAGTTGCTTTCTCTAACCTCATAAGTCCTCTATAAGTACCACTGGTTCCCCAGAGGTAGGGCTCTGCCCCTGCTATCTCAATCCTGCAGGATCAGTGAGGGTCTTGACGCTCCAAGGCCTGGACCGAGGACGGGGTCTACGCCAAACACTCTTTAATTTCTACTGAACTGTTATCTTTCAACTTACAAAATCCAATCGAGGGATTCACTATAGCCTCCTGAGTCTTTCTGGCAGAACTGAAAGTAGACCAGCGCTGTGGCTTCTGATTTTACCAAAATCTCCATCTCACAAGAACTCGGAGCAGTTTACTCACAGTGAAGCATGGGTGCTTTAGATAAGCCTCTGAGGTGTTGGAGTTTGATTGGGTTGAATGGGCTTTGTGTAATTTAACTCATTTTACACTAAACTATAATCCAATCTAAAGCCAAAGCCAGATTTCTGGATAGCATTGCACTCTGGCATATATGCAGGAAAGATGAGTGAGTGGGACATTTATAACATCCATCCATCACATGTTCTGGAGAAACTAGTTCATTCATTAGTTTATTGTACACTGTTGTAGCCGTGAATGAGGTGCGTATCCTTTATTATCTGTTGTTAAGGTGTGGTGACCGTTTCTATGGTTGCACATACTCCTGACTTCCTGAGGTCGCTCTGGTGACTGATTAAGTATTTCCTAAAATCCTCCTATTGCACTTGCCATGTTTGGGAGATTGAAGAAGGCCAGTATCCACAGGTCTATTGATTTAAACTAAATAGGTTTGATTTATTCTGCTATTGTATATTTGTTGAAATGAAATAAAATTAAATGCAATGAACAAACACCTAACTGAAATATACAAACTAAGATTAAACAATAAAGAGGACCCATGAACCAGTGCTGGGAAAGAGGAAAACTGTTCTCCCCTAATCAGCCACACCTGGCTGTTCCTCCCTCCATGTTATATCTCCTTAGGGCCTGTAGAGGGGGTTATTGAGTTAAACAAAAGAAACATATAGACAATAAGACAATGGAAATGGCTCCTGCAGAGGGCATGTATACTTCATTAGTTCACTACTAAACTTTTAGTTTCACAGACACGGTGTAGTTCACAATTCTAGTGAGTTAGAAGTGCGTAAGCTGCTGGGATTAGCGTTTAGCTGTTAGCACTTTGCAGGTTCATCAGCTCAATCAGATGTGCTACATTAGTGTGTGGAAAGAATATAAGAGACTGTTGTCATCACAGAGATAAAAGAAGGCCTTAAATAAATTAGCTGACAATAAATATATTATCATTGTTGTTGACAGCAACATCTACTCCAGAAAAATCATTTTGCCTATATATATATATATATATATACACACAATGCAAGATAACTGCTTTCCCAACAAAGTCACTTTCTCCTTGGGAATAAAAATAATTAGTGGCAGGACTAACATAATTGTCTGTTTTAATCACACAACAAACTACTGATATTAAATGAATGACTTAAATCAGAGTTTTACTACAAAGCTTTTTTTTGGTTGAATATCTGTGATAAAAATTTATATCTACATTGATTACAGATCTAAATACAAAATAATACTGTTGATTTAATTTATGTGGTAAACTGTATATCTAAGTATCATTAAAACACTTTTTGTTGGTGCAAAATTATACAGTAAACATTACTCTGACAACTCTGATAAACAGCTGCTCACACAGAAGATATTCAACATCAGACTGAGATCAGACTCACCTGCTGATGTTAGTTGAATGTTAACTGAGAGAACAAACAAGTTTTTCAGTGTATAGTGATCCATTTTCAGCGAGAAGACTTCAGAACGTTTCATTCATATAACGATTTATTTCTCCATTACTTTACTTCTTCCTTGTACACAGAGAACTCAGTAGCAGCTAAAGGAGTGGCTGGGTTGCCAGATGAATTAAATCCTCCTCACTGGAATGTTAACATAAAATGTACATGTTTGGATTTGTACAGGCCTGTACAAGCACGAAATATTAAGAGGACAACTTACATACAATGTATGAGCCACACATTTATGAAGAGAGATCTGTGAGATACAAACTAATGATGTTTCATATATAGTAAAGTATATATTCAACTAGATGTAAAAACACATAAAATGAGAAGGATAAAGAGCTACGGCAGACCATAATTATGTTTAAACAGGATGAAGTATAGCATGTTTTATTAACACACATCTAAAATATTGACATTGAGATAATATGCAGCATCATTTGCTGCTAGGATCAAAGGAAGGTGTGAGGACAAACTGGATGGAGGGAGGGGTGAGCTAGCAGATACCTGAAAGGGCTTCCTGCTCCTACTGCTGGCTAAGTTTGATTCTTTGTCTGGAAGGAAGGCCTGCTCAGTCTCATATGTGGTCTAAATTCACCCCTGTCAAACTGCACGTGGTCCTGTCCGCTCCTGTTTACCTGTCTGCAGCTGAAAGCCAAGCCACTCCTGCCCTTCTTCCTGAGGCCCAGCTCCATGCAGACTTCCAGGCCCAGCTTTAGTGCTCCAGAGAGCACTGGCAGGTTTGGTGTCCCCAGTCCTGCTAACACAGCTCTGTCATGGTCTCATTTTCTGCCCCTCTGCTTGAGATACCACATGCGCCCTTTGACCAGTTTCCAGCTACTTACCTCTCACCCCATTGTACAGGGTGGGGACACTGTTCTGTTCTGGAGCCAGCATTCTGTCAAAAACCGCCCCCTCATGGGCCTGTGTGGTAGTGCACATGGCTAGACCATGTGCTTTTGTTTGTTTTTCTGCTCCAGCTTCAGCTTCACACTGGCTCCACCCATCACCACACCTGCATCTTATTTCAGGACTCATTACCTCATTTACATACATCTGTATTCCTTGTGAGGTTTCTGTTCTGTTTGGTTAGGTTTTTTAGTACTTGATTCATTTTGTTGTTCAGCTAGTTTGAGTTTTAATATTCACTTTTCAACATTTAATATTTTTTAATGTTAACTAAAGACAAAGAAATTTGCATCTTTGAGGGTAAAATGAGCAAAATGAATGGAACAACACCATTGGCTATTACACACCCCTAAATACCCATGATCATGTTTGATCATGTGTGACCTTCTGTGTTAAGACTGAAGATGAGTAAACAAGCTGGCAGTTATAAATAAAGACACTCCTGCACTCCTTTCTCTCACAGTTCCTTTAGTTCATTTATTTCAGCACATCTGCTTATAAAAGCAAACACTGAATGAATCACTGAATGAATAAAAAAAGCCAACATTTTGATTCATCTGTCTGGTTCAGACAAGCGTGATATTTATTTACTTATATACTAATATAAAAAATCTTAATATCAAAAATAAATAAAAGATTGAAGAAACAACAAATGTACATGAATATATACATATATATGTATATAATACATATATACGTAAGGAAGATTTAGAGTCACAGCATTAAACAACAATATTTATAGTATATAAAATATTTTTATAAAAAAATAAAACTGGAAAATACAGTGTGAAGTAATTAGGTATTTTAAAAACACTGTGTGTGTGTGTGTGAGTGTGTGTGTGTGTGTGTGTGTGTGTGTGTTTATTTAATCATACTCTCATATACTCTTTATACTTTCAATACTGAAGCTGGTTCCCAAACAGTGCCTGGTTCATCAATAACAGTATCATATCATACAGTGGTGTATATCCGTATAGTGTACTGATGTATAAGTAGTATACAGATATATAGCTTATCATCCAGAAGAGGTGCTGGAGGTGATTGATGAGGTGCATCATGTAGAATCAGATGCTAAAAATATTAAATGAAATGTATATCAGTTTTGACTTTGAGAGATGTGTTATAAAAAAAGAACAAAACAATAGAAACGTTCAGAAAGGCTGAATTACCTGAACTGGCGGTGCCAGGAACAGGTTTAAAACCTGAAATAGAGATGAGTAAATTATTATCTGTAGGTTCATGTAATGGAATTATGTGCTATAAAATGTTATGAAAAAGCCACCTTTGCAGCTTCTCAGCTTATCTGTTTGCACTTACCAGACTTCTTTTTCCACATGAAAACTCCAACACAAGCAACGAGGACCAGCAGAAGAACAGCCACAACTGGACCAATGATAATACCAACTGACCCTTTATCTGAAACACCAGAGTCAGGACATCTATTATCTCACACATAAGTAAAATAAGTATTTGGTAAGACTTCCTATGAATCCTGAATTCATAAGGCATTATAAACACATTTATAGAGTGTTATATGGCTGATGAGGAGCTCTTGTAGAAGTAGATGCTGAAGAGTATACAACTTTATAATGTCAGGTTCCATAACGCTTTATAATATCAGTTCATAAAATCATTGTAAACATGAAGGTTGTTATGCATAACAACACACTATAACAACATTCTGGTACATTTTCTGCAGACCCAGGCGTACATCCAGGTTAACATTGATTAGGTATAATCATCTCTGTCTCCAACAGCTATGGGAGATGCTGGAGAAGATTCTGTACAGAGAAAAAATAAGAACTGATTTTTGGTGGACTTTGGTGGTCACTACTTCATTTTTTTCAAAGAATTTAAAAAAGCATTACCTTTATATGCAGTGTAAATTTGATAGAATCTGTTTATTTGAAGCTAACTGGAAACTGTAATGCTAGGCTAGCTGACTACATGTGCTAGACTGTAGCGGTTTGCTAAAGCATTAGTTACATGCCAGTTAGATATAATTATCTCACTTCACTTAAAGCTTGTAAAGAGCAATTATAACACTGTATAAGGTTTGGTGTACTGAAACGAAAATTCTAGATATTTAAAAAAAATCTCACTTAAAACCTGTAATGTCCTGGTAAAAAGCTCTAGAAAGGTTTATAGTGGATTGTGGCGTAAATCTGTTCAGTTTTCTTCTGAACAGATATTATAGTACATTATGGAACCTGACTTTATGAAGTCACATAGTCTTGATTTGTAAAAAGTGTTACGCATGTAACCATAAGTATTTAAGAGAAATTATAAAAGCTTATGCCTGGTGTTATAACTCATTATTTACGCCATACAGCACCTTATAAATACAATACCAATACAGGGCTCATAAGAAATGTCACTGAACATTGTAAACATATATGTTGTGATGCTTTATTATGTACTATAATAAGATACTGGTATATTATCCGTATTGCAACTGTGGAAATTGTAATGCTAGGCTAGCTGGCTACATGTGCTAGATTGTTAGTGGTGAGTAACCAAAGCCAAATGGATAATATACAGATATTATAATGATTTATGGAACCTGGCTTTATAAATTCATATGCTCTTGCTATAGAAATTGTTATGCATGTAATTTCAACTATTTAAAAGAAATTATACAAGCTTATGGTTGGTATAATAGGGCATTGTGTAGGCTACATAACACCTTATAAATGCAATAATCATGCATTATGAATATAAGATTCATAGGAATTTTTACACAATGTTGTTATGATCAAATAATACAATGTGTTGTGGAACCTGAGCTTATGTAGATGTAAAGTTGCATAATCTTGCTTTATAAAGTGGTATGCTTGTAACCATAAGGTCTTTTAAGCAATTACAAAATACCAGGCATTATAAGGTATTATGTATTCCCTGTAACACCTTATAAATGCATTTAAAATGCATTATGAATACAGGATTCATAGAAAGTGTTACTAAGTCTACTTTTAAAAAAAAATATTCTCCTACCCAACAGGGCTCTGCGATCAGACACCTGTAACACATGTATGTTCTCTAGGCTGCTGTGCTGAATGACACAGCTGTACTGATTCCTATTCAGCTCCTCAGGTGAGACAGTCAGAACGATCCTCTTCTGGAAGGTTCCATCCTCGTTGGGTAGCGTCTCTCTGAGCTCCACGTCCTCATGCAGATCCTCTCCATTCTTCTGCCAGGAGATCATCACTGCTTTGGGGAAGAAACCTGTAGCATGACACACCACTGGAGAAGAAGAGTCCTTCTGGAACAGAGACGCCTCAGGAGAGACTGGAGAGAGAGAGAGAGAGAGAGAGAGAGAGAGAGAGAGAGAGACAGAGAGACAGAGAGACAGAGAGATGAGACAGAGAGTCAATGATAAGGTGTGATAATCATTTCAATATGCAGAAACTAGAGATGTTCACAAGTCACTTCATGCTGAATCTATGAAGTCTGGAGCATTCAGATACTGCTGAGCCAACTATGCAGCAAGCAGTCCATTGGCAGGCTCATGCCACTGGACCCAGGGGTGAACATTTCCTTGCAGAACCTATAGCATGAGCCTGCCACTGGACTGGTTTCTGCAGCTAGCCACTGCAGCTGGGTCACCAATGTTTTAATGACTTCACTTTCTACAGACAACTAAAGTACCAGGGTGCCCCTTCCTACTCCAGCACCCAGGTGCTATTAGCTATTGGATCCTCATGCTTTCCAACACCCAGGCTTCAACTGGCACAGATCCCCCCACTTGTACAGGCAGAGCCCCTTCCACTTGATCAAAGGCCCAGAGAGGTGCACCGGCCCAAGCAAAAGATGTCAGTGTTCCAAGACGGGGAAGACACATGAAAATTACCTGCTCTACTTTGAGCGCCGGGCGAAAACGTAGGAGTGGTAAATTAAGGAGTGGGCTTGCTGACTTGTTTCACTTGTTGACAGACAAGGCACTTGATGCATATACGGCCATCAATGAGGAAATATCCAAATTTGACGTAAACCTGTTTCTTTTGTTTGGAAGCTTCTATTCTAGATCTCAGCTGTAGTTACATTAACAGATCATATTTTACCTTTCTTCTCCCGAGTGGATCTGCCATAATCCACATATTTCTTTAACCAGGTGATACATTCATTCAGCAGGTAGGCTGTTTGGAATCTGGCTGCAGCACTCCCCTCCCACTTGTTTTTTGTAATTATTGCTTTCTGATTTGCCGCAGTCCAGTTGGAGGTGATTAGATCCAGACTGATGTAGTCTTCTCCATCATAACCGTACTGGTCATATCCTCTCCTGGTTCCATCATCATCCAGCTCACAGCCATACATCCACTGCACGGTGTGAATACCTGCAGACAAACAATCACACATGAGCACATCATTCATATAAATCTGAACTCAATCAGCACACAGTTCTCCAGGTTAACACTAAAAAACTCATTCACATAACAGTCACAACCTCATTCTGAATAAATACTCTTTCTTTGGATGTTTTGTATCATTTGTATTGTATCAATAGATTACAACAAACAACAAAGCATGAATCACACTATTAAAATCTACCTAAATGATGTAAATATACAGGTTCACTAAACCTGCTATATTGACCAGTGCAAGCTGTTGGTAGATCATTGATTATTAGTATCTCTTTTAGTAAGTCTCCCCTCAGATGTACTATACCATACTATAGTGTACTACATCTGAGGGGAGATTTACTAAATTACTGGCAGTATACTCAACAGTTTGTGCCCAACAGCTTGTGCTATGGGGTGGTCAATTTAGCAGGTTATCTACCAGGAATTTCCAAGCTTGTTTTTGCCAGGTAGAGGAAATGTTTGGTAGCACTTTATAGTACAGTACAATAAGACACTAGTCTTTAATAGGTAAATATGTGGTACTTACAAGGAATTTTCTGGTACATACTTTGCATGTACACAGTGATTTACATAAAAACATATCGGGTATGTATAGCTGCACTTACTCAGAATTTAATAGGAAAATACAAAGTACTTACAAGTACATTTCTGCTACATACTTTGCACATACTTAGTAACTATATAAAAAGTATGAGGTATTTATAACAGTATTTACTCAGAATATAATGGTAGACATGCAGTATTGACACATAATACTTGGTGCACAGTTTGCAAGTTCAGTATGTAAGCACTGAGTAACTAATGTGAGAAATACCAGGTTTATTTCAGTTTTTAATGAATCAGCATTTCAGTAAATACCTGCATATGTGATAAAGAAGAGTAGAGAGTGAGATAAAGTACCTTCATTTAAGTACAGTAATTTATTCCCTATTACTTGGTACATTTATTGGCAAATTCTCTGTTATACTGTGGTGACAGGACTGTAAAATGAAGTGTATCTTTTTACATAGTAATTACATAGTAGCTACATGTTTCATGTATTTGCGGCATGCTGAGCATAACCATACAAACTGTTCATAAATATACATAATGCTATGGATGTGGTCTAGGTTGAATCACAGCAATGGCAAGTGGTGTATATATTTTTATACAAAAATGCCAATATAATGTACTAAAGCAGAGAACTAGAAAACACAACTCACTAGATTTCAGAGTTCAGGTTTGACCCACAGACAAAACAACACACAAAATTTCAAACTACTTGGAAATAACAGTGACTAACTTACAGCAACAAACAAAAGACACTATGTATGGTTATGAAGAGCGTATATGGTTATGTGAACACTGTATATGGTTATGAAGAGCGTATATGGTTATGTGAACACGGTATGGTTATGAAGACTGTGTATGATTATGTGAACACTGTATGGTTATGAAGACTGTGTGGTTATGTGAACACTATGGTTATGAAGACTGTATGGTTATGTGAACACTGTATGGTTATGAAGACTGTGTATGGTTATGTGAACACTGTATGGTTATGAAGAGCGTATATGGTTATGTGAACACTGTATGGTTATGAAGACTGTGTGGTTATGTGAACACTATGGTTATGAAGACTGTATGGTTATGTGAACACTGTATGGTTATGAAGACTGTATGGTTATGTGAACACTGTATGGTTATGAAGACTGTGTGGTTATGTGAACACTATGGTTATGAAGAATGTGTATGGTTATGTGAACACTATGGTTATGAACACTGTATGGTTATGTGAACACAATGGTTATGAAGACTGTATGGTTATGTGAACACTATGGTTATGAAGACTGTATGGTTATGTGAACACTGTATGGTTATGAAGACTGTGTGGTTATGTGAACACTGTATGGTTATGAAGAATGTGTATGGTTATGTGAACACTATGGTTATGAACACTGTATGGTTATGTGAACACAATGGTTATGAAGACTGTATGGTTATGTGAACACTATGGTTATGAACACTGTATGGTTATGTGAACACTGTGTATGGTTATGTGAACACTGTATGGTTATGAAGACTGTGTATGGTTATGTGAACACTGTATATGGTTATGAAGACTGTGTATGGTTATGTGAACACTGTATAGTTATGAAGACTGTGTATGGTTATGTGAACGTTGTATGGTTATGAAGACTGTGTATGGTTATGAGAACTGTGCATGATTATATGAACACTGTGTATGGTTATGTGAACACTGTATATGGTTATGAAGACTGTGTATGGTTATGTGAACGTTGTATGGTTATGAAGACTGTGTATGGTTATGAGAACTGTGCATGATTATATGAACACTGTGTATGGTTATGAGAACTGTGCATGATTATATGAACACTGTGTATGGTTATGTGAACACTGTGTATGGTTATGTGAACACTGTGTATGGTTATGTGAACACTATGGTTATGTGAACACTGTGTGTGGTAAGGAAGAGTAAAGAGAATTGCTATAAAGCTTTGAGTGTGTTCATGCTCACCTTCAGTGTGACTGAAGCGCTTCATTAGAATACCCACGTTAGCTTTGAAGGTCTCCTGATGACGCTGCACAATCTGGGTCTGTCTGTTCCAGTAATCTGGATCATCAGCATCAACCTTCTTTATCCAGTCTGTCTTCGGAACATCCTTCCTGATGTTACTGTCATAGTAATCAAACTGCTCTCCATCCACCAGACCAACAACAGTGAACTCTGGGAAATGTATTCCTGGAGTAACTGCAGTGTAGATGTACTGCAGAGAGTGGGAGGCTGAAAAAGATAAACTGCAGTGTTCAGATTAGTCAATAATAGAAATTGGTACCTGTATGAGGCAGAAATTTGGCTTTGTGTGGTTTGGCACCTGAACCTCTCTGTCCACATTCATGCTCTTTGTTGTGAGCTTCGAGTGGAAGAGAGAACAATGCTGCCATGCTGAGATTATAAACTAATGCTTACAATCAGAATGACAAGAGTGGATCAATCCAAAAGCGCAGAGGTATTTATCATATTCAAGATGGGAAATTTACAGTCACTAAAGTGATCGTACACAGCAACTCTGGCGTTTGTCTCCATTTGTCTCCGTCTCTCAGGAGAAAGAAACCGAAACAGAAGCTCCGCGTCCTAACTGGTAGATAACTCAGGCTGTTTCATCAGGATATGAGTTTGTAGACGGACTCTGTTAGACAGACGTACAGAAACAGACTCACCTGTTGATGTTGGCTGAATACAGATTGAAAGGAAAACCAGGCATTTCTTCATCACTGTACAGTAGTCCATTATCAGCAGCGCACACTTCAACTTCTTTTCTTTTTTCTTTACAACTGCGTTGTCTCACGTCATCTTAATGCGTCCTTGCTCTGTGATTCTGGGGAAGTGAGCAGGGTTGCCAGATGATTCACCTATAATAGGCACTATAATGAGGAATAAGGAAACGCGTGCAACAGGTTTACAGTTTTACTGTTCTACTCAGTGCTTCTTATTTGCCTCTTCTATCTTCCCAAGTCCTCGTTCTTTAATTGGCATATTAACACCATCAAGTTCAAAACTGAGGATTTCCCTCAACATGGCAACCCTGCAAGTCTCCCTGCATAGAGCTGTATAAAAACCATCTTTCATCCAATCACATTTAGGCAAGCTGTTCAGGGTCACTAGTCGCTAGGATGACGTCAACAGCGAGGGCTCTGCCTAGATCCTTCTGTCAGTTTCACCAAGCAGGGCGGCCTGAAGAACGACTTCACAAATGGTCACTAAGAAAGATAAAGGCTGTTTAAACTTGTGTACCTCCTGGACTCTGGAGGATGAAAATGAAATCAACAAAAATCAATATCAGACACCAATCAAGGCCCAAAGAATGATAATGGTTATAGAAACACGCTGCTGACTGAACGTATGTAAACAGGCCGATCACAGCTGATTCCCATCTGAGCTGAAGTCCAGCCCAGATACTGACCATCTATTAAAAGTGGTCAGTTATTCTGTTCACAGTGGACAGTGCATTATGAGTAAAGCACATATAAACACATATCAACAATAGAGGACATCAGGTGTGATGTGGATGAGATCATGTGGCCCAATAATGTAGGATGTTTTAGTTTATATTGCTTAATTTATTCTGGTATAGTAAAGATATACAATTCTATTTTTCTGATGTAATGAGTTTCTTCATTCACTGTAGAGAAGTTTGTCAAATCAAACTAAAAACAGTTCATGTAGTAATAAACACTTTAACTGCTTTTATTGATTCTACTCAGTGCTCTTTATCTACAAGTCCTCACTGTATAAATTCAAAACAGAGGTTTTTCACCAATCAGGGTTTTATGAAAAACAGCTTCCCTGCAGCCACATTTAGGGAAGCAGCACAGTATTAGATGTTAGTGGTCTCAAGTGAACTCGCCAGGTGGATTCAGAACTGAAAGTAGAACTGAGCAGCGCTGTGGCTGCTGATTTTACCAAAATTCCCCATCTCACAAGAACTCAGAGCAGGTTTAATCACAATAAAGGCCATCTGCTTTGAAAAGTGTTGGAGTTTGACTGGGCAATTTTATTAACCAGAAATTCAAAAATGACCACGGACTCTGAAAGAACTATTACATATCATTTAGTTCATTACATATACTATGTTAATAGAACTTTTAAAAGCACATACAGCAATTTGTTTATTTTATTTAATTATTAGGTGAAAATGAGGGAAATGTCCCCTGCCCTCCACTCACCACCTCCTGACCAATTTTACTCCTGACTAATTTTATTTAGTATTTTATTTATTAATAATTGTGTATGAGTCTGTGTTGGAGAAGAAGTCGGTTCCCTCCAGGTCCTTCTTCTGGGATTAGCGCTTAGCCGTTAGCAATTTGGTGATGTATTTCTAGATCTGTCTTTGTGTTGTAGCACTTTAAAAACTAAACCAAAGTTACTGTGCAGTGTGTGACCTGTTACTCATGTTTGTGAACCCTTTTATTATTTGCTGTTTATTTTACAGCTGAGTAAGTGCTCTCATAATGACCACTACCTGTGCTGCTGCCTTTGAGAGAGGAAATGAAGAGAGTTCACTGCTCTTCCTCAACTCTGTGATTTGAGCAGCGCTTATCTTACGTATGCACCACGGGGGGTGGGGGGTGGTTTATAATGTACAGGACGATGATGTATAAACCTGTACACAGTTAGCGTTATCGCAAGAAATGTTAAACGATGAAAGAGTAACAAAAACAGCCTGAGTAAAAAATAAATGCTGCAAAGCACTAAAATATACTTAACAGATGAGCAATTTCAAAAAAGCATTTTTTGATAAAATTCCACTTTTCTTTTAAATTTACATGCATTTTCATCACTTTTCTTTTTGTCAGTGTTTATTTGTTAGTTCCACACTCATAAAAAACACTTTCATTATTTATTTTATTAATCATTCAAAATTTCAAGCCATTTGTATTTTCAGTGGCTCTGTTTTTAATTCACATTCATTTCTATTAAGCCTGTTTTCATCATTTAATTTTTATTCATTTCACCTCTAAATTGTCATTGTTCTGCTGTTTTTCCTAAAGTCCTCCTTCCAAGAACTCGGCTCAGTGCACATTTAAGTGAGGCCTGTCTGCTTTAGAATCAGAGTCAGGCTTTATTGGACAATTATGTTTGCACATACAAGGAACTTGTCTTTAGTTATAGAGCAGCTCACCAGACACAGTGACTGACAACAGACCTTTCACACCTGAAGATTCGTATCTGAATTCTTGCACATTTACGTCACACACACAAACAAACAACATCCACATCTATCCACACATTCATTAATAAAAAGAGTGTTCTCAGTATTCGTGTAATGTGTAGAGACAGCAGTGCAGCAAGAGGTATCATCTGTGAATAAAATAAAATTAAGATAAAATAAGAAAGTTAAATCTGTACCATAAGCAGTGCTTATGAGCAGTCACTGTTCATAAATTTAATGCAGTGAGAAAAAAATCTGGAGTTGGTTTGTTTTAACCCTCATTAGACTTTCATGGCAGTGGAGATAAAGTTGGTGTCCCACTTGAAGCCCCTGGTCATTGTTGTTCTCAGGAACATGAATCGCTCCCCTGCCATCACAGTTTTCTCCTGAGGTCCACAGTCATCGCTACACAAAGCAATATTTCTCTTTTATGAGAAACTTCACACTGAACATTTTACCTTTTTAAGCCTACGGGTGAGTTTAGCTACTTTTCTCTTCGAATCTTACAGCTAAATCAGCTAAAAACTCCATCACTGCAAACTCATCCCAACAATTTAAACATGTCTATCAGTTTCTAGCTGATCTGTTTACCATACAAACACTCTCTGATCTGAGTATGAGTAGCTCTCATACAGTGACACCACTAGGTGGCACTCTAAGATCAGATCAGGACTCTGCTGCAGTCTGTGTTTATTCAATACAAGGTAGCTTTACGGTCAGATTCTCTTCTGGTCAGTTTCATTCCTGATGTGAACTGAAATAAGACGTGAATGATGTATAAAAGTCTGAAATAGAGCTGGATATAAGTCTGGCTGAGTTGGAGGTCATTGTCAGATCCGGCCTTTTTACCATGAACAGTCATGTTTATTCAACACTGAGACACACATGTGATCTGACAGAGCAGTGATAGAAAAGCAGTGAGTTTACTTTCAGATTCCTCAGTAAAGGAAGGGCAGCTCAGAAGAACAGACAGTACTGCACTTATTTAACTTACAAGCAGTCAGATAAAATCACTGTTACAGAGACTGACTGTAGTAAAGCAATACAGGCTATAAAGGCTATATATTTAACAAAGCTTCAGTAGATCTCCCTCCAGGACTTTCCTGAATAAATGCTGTATGAAGGGATCACAGTGTTCACAGAGAGAAAAGAAGTGAAGATGTTTAAGGATCTTTTATTTCAGTCTGATTTCCCTCATTACTGCTCTCCTATTCAACTAAAACTAAGTCAGGGTCTAGATATTGATGTCTAGATATTAAGCATCATTTCACATTTGAAAGGAAGGAGATGCTCTGTATCCAGACTTCTCCTCTAATTACTGCGCTCAGCTCTTTAATGAATACTTACACTGTCAAATCATCATAGAGCACAATCAAAATTAATCACAGGTCAAGATTTAAATCACAGATTAAGGTTATAATCACTGATTTGTTAATTACTGTAGTCTAGTTCAGTGATGCTCTGTCTTCACAGTAAACACCTGTAAATTTGGTAAATTTACTGATATTAAACTGGATCCCTCCATATCAGAAGAACATGGATGAGGTGGATGATACAGAGTTTACTGTTGTCCTGGACAAAGCTTAAATCTTAAAAAATACTGTGACTGCATCTACATTGTGAAAAATGCTCTGTTTAGACTACTTATGTTAATAATACGAGCAGTGTTTTGGTAAAATGTAGTGAAATATCAGGATACTAAAATAATAATAAAAAGTGTTTACATTTTCTAGTAGTCAGAGGTGAAATAACACTATGTAGAATGTAAAAGTGTACATGACACTAGTGCTGCCCCGAACAGCAATTCAATCAATTCAATCTTTGAGCTCTCAAATACTCTCAAAATAATTTTTAAAAACAGTAATGTATATGTTGCATAATTAACTGTATGCATGGATCTCCTTTTGCACAGTGATAGAAAACACTACAGCACACAGGAAGCTCCAATTCTGATCCATTTTACTGTGACCAATCTGGACACACACATTTCGACTACTTTGAGGGCAGATTTTAATCAGTTAAACCCTTAAATTCAGGATTATAATGCTATGATGTTTTGGCTCAAAGGAGCCAAAATCTTAGAACGTATTGCCAGCAATACACTAAGTAAGACAAGCCATAACAAACGGGTCAAGCAGTGCTCAATAAAATGGAAAAATCTCACAAGACCTTATGCTTTGAAACTTTATCAGTATCAGCACAGGGTGCAAAAAACTGACCGTAAGTTTAAAACAATAACAAAGAATGCCATTTAACAAGCTAGTTTTGTGGTTTCCAGTGGCAGCTACCTTGGAAAAAAGGGCCAAGTTTTTTTACTGCTACAGTAATAATAATAATAATAATAATAATAAGTAATAACTAAAAAACAAACTGAAAAAAAGTGGCGAGTATGAAAGTGTTATAAAACTTTTTTTCCTGTAAACATGATCACATTTAATTAATATTGTGTGTGTGTGTGTGTGTGTGTTTCATGGCCAATTCCCACTGACCATTTAGGACCCCCTAGATAGCACGATGCCGCAATCACATGTGCTCAGGGTCTCCTGGTGCTCTTGGTCTCCTTGTCAAAGAGGCCTCAGTTGGATTCAAACTCACAATCTCCTGATGATGAAGTGAACCATAAATGCTGTACTGTGGCCACATGCTTCAAACAAAGACCGATTGTTCTAACAGACATGTTGCAGAGACAGAAAGCACCTGTAGTGTTTGTTTATTTGGCAAAGATAAAGGAATGGGAGACGGTGAAGGAGGCAGAATCAGAAAGCAGAGTGTGGATGACAAGATCACTTTCTCTTTCTTCCAAATCAACTCTAGGTGACAACCTCCTGAAAGAGCTAACGGTGTTTATAAAGGATAAGAGACATGGGCCTTCACTGTTCATGCATAGAGATGTGGAGCTCAGTGCTGAACTGTGACTATTAAAGCTAGGCCTTGCTTTCCTGCTGCCTTATATATTTATTTACATTTACCCACACTGTTGTCTGTATATCTGCATCAAACAAGCTCATTTGACTGAAAATTACACATTTTTAAACGTCTATATTTACATATTACCATGTACGCTGTGGTGTAAAACAGTATTTATTGCAAACCATATTATTACTACACAGTGTATAAGCACTTACCAAACTAACTGAGCTGTAAAATGCAGACATTTCACAGATTCTCAGATTCCTCAGTCAAAAGTGGTTACTCAGATTGACTTTTAATGATAAATAACACTGAAATAACTAATAGACTAGCTAAAACAATGAAATGTGTTCCTTTTAAATGCATCTTCACAACCAGACTTTAAGTGGGCTTAAAGAGTACATTTATCCTTTAGATCATATCTCCTAAAACAAGAGCTATAACCCTGTTCTGTATATCACATCTGCTTTTTGGTTGTTTCTCATACTCTTAATATTTACAGTCAAACTGATTCCACAGTGAGATATATAAACACAGTCACTCTTCTCTTTCTAACAATTGAATCCCACTGTAACAGTGTAAATAATGCAACATTACATTTTCCTTTTCTTACAGGTTGCAACAGAGTCGTTTCATCATTGAATGATTTCTATTTGGAAATCATGTAGTTACAATATAAAGCACAAATCACATGGTAATGTTTGGGCAATGTTTTTATTAATGTATTATTAGAGAAGTCTTCAAAGAAATCTACATTCAGTCATATGGGTCAAAAACATTGACAGTTTCCATCTGTTTTGCAAAAAAAGCCCCCAGTTAAAGGCATTTTAACTCATTTCTTATTCCAGTTCTGATGATGTTGAGTGATTGGAGTTGTAGTGGCATTTAACTACAACTGGAACCAACCCTCTTCTCAACTGATATATGAGGGGTACAAAGTTTATTACAGAAAACCTCTGAAATGGTTTATCTATGTGCAACACTTTACCTCCAGGTTCTAGGCCATCAAATCACATTTAGGAAACATGCTTTTCAGGCTGTAAATGTTAGGTGGGGTAGGAGGCTGGCGGTGGTAGTCAATTCAAAAACTTGTAAAGAAATAAAGGAAGGGGGATAATGTTTTATATACTAAATAAATAAAATTAAGAGTAACCAACCGCTAGACTGTCATAACTTCCAAAAAGAGGTTTCTTACGCCACCACACCCAATACAAAATATGAAAATATAAGTTTGACTCGGGGGAAACAGTTACTCGCTCCCCAACTGCTTCACACTTTCCCGGGTCCCCTTTTAAAATCTCTCTGCTGATTCGTCTGTCATGAATGCAAGGCCCGATTTGGTTGGCTAATCATTTGGTTGGGAGTTAATCAGTCACACTATACACCTAGTAACACAAATCACAGGTAAAGCACCCTGCACAGCAATCCACCACTAAATGACACTACAATACATCCAAGTCTCAAACACTTACCACAGCAAAATAGAAAAGGAAAAAACCCAACCCACTGTAAACCCCACTAACATAAACAAACCTTCCTACCTCACATCACTAACCAATTTAATTCTCATTAGCGACACTAAACAACAAACACTGAGTGTGTTTACATGCACTCAATAAGCTGATCATAATCGGATTTCTGCCGTTATCCGATTATTCAAATTGTCATGTAAACAGCACACTCTGATCTAGAAATCTGATTAAGAAATTCGTTAAAGAGGCTGGATTTTAGTTCCGTAATCAGACTTCTCAGTGCATGTAAACTCTTACTCTGCTTTCTTTTGGATTTCTCAGAGACGCAGCAAAACACTTCTAGAGCAGCGCTGAAACCAAACACGAAATAAAGGATTTAAAGATTCTTCATCTTCTGGATGATGTATGTTCATATTTTCAGATAAAGTGACACAAAGTTTTAAAGAAAAACGCAGCATGAAGTTTGAGTTTTACGTTATGTTTACGTCATGTCTTCTTCTGTGAGTTTATTGGCAGACTGTCAAGTTCAGTTAAAAAAACATTTCCATGAAACTGACCCACTGTATGAACAAATGTTTGAGTTAGCTTCCTCAGTCATGATCGTATGTTTTAATGTTTTGAATTGCTTCAGATTCAACAGCTTAAATAATGGCAACTAATCTATGCTACTTGTTGAGGTTTAACAGATCTATTTTGTTTAACTTGGTATATCTACCAAGTTAAAACATCATGAAATAACAGAAATGCACCAATCAATACTCACAGGGTCGAGACCTCAATAGAATGATAGCAGTTACGAGGAGGGTCAGCAATAAAAAATTAATTAACTTCAGGGGCAAAGGTTAGAGGTCATTTCTCACAGTGCTTTATTACATTGAATATTTCACAGGGATTTCACAAAGATTTTATACCAAATAGTTTCCATTTCTATCAAATTACAGCATTGGAGCTCAGCTTTCTTTTCAGAAGCTGCTGAAGTTCTGCTTCAGTTCGCTTTGGCTCAGTTTAAGTCTTGAGCTGCTTAAGTGCAAGTAAGCATACGCTGGTGATGTCTACATAACAGAAAATTCTTTTTTTAACAGTAGATGAACTTGCTCCAGACTGATGACAGAGACAAGTACGAGTACAAATCCTACCAGGTCCAAAATGATAAAAAAAAAAATGTCTGGAGCCCAGACTACAGTACTACAGACTAGAGTACTACAGCTGTAGGTGTAGCTACTTCACACACCAAACACTTCGCATCAAACATCGTACTTTTTTATACAGTAACAGGTCAAAGTATGTATTAAATACATAAAATGGCACAAGGCTACTGGTAGCAGCTTTTCAGCTTAATATGACGTTCTTGATGGGTATAAATCCAGAGAATCCTTACACTTATTAACATTAATTATCAAAATTCATTTTTATTGTAAATTAAATTAAATTACAACTATTATACACTTAAGCTTATATAAATTAGACCTGCACTCATCATTCAGATACAATTAGACAGAAGAACTGTAAATCTTATACTAGTGTATTTTATAATTTCAAACTTTGGAGATCAGTAGAGAACACTAACAAACCTCCATTCACATTAATCACAGATACGACTCACTCACACACATGAATGTGAACCTGAACAACAAAATCTGAACTAAGCAGCAAGGCTTGTAATGTGAATTTAACCAGAATTTCACTCACAAAATATAACAGGAATAATTTTGATCAAACTTCACTTGAAAGATATGTGTGTAAACGAAGCATGCTTTTATGGATCTCTTCACGTTTCCCAACATTCTTCTTTCAATGTCTTCCTCCCTTGGCCGTTAATCTAGAAGGAGAAATATAAACACATCACAACTGTTACTAATTGAGATTTAGTATCAGGTTAAAGTTATGTAGGCAGAGCTTTGTGGATATGCAGGATAGAAGCTGAATTAGAGACAATATAATACTTACTGTGATAAACAGTACGCGTTTATGAGTACATTGCAGATATTGTCAGTATTTAAAGAACACTGACCAGCTGCACGCTTCATTACAAAGAGAGCTTGATTAGTCCTGATTAATTGGATTTAGTGCAGCGCAGTATGTGAAATATTATGTACTGACTGGCAGTTTTTAAACACGACACTATGAGTGTATTGTGTCTGGGTGTCAAAGTACCAATGATGCATATTGTGCATTGTGAAAACATAGTATTTATTATATTTTTCCCATATTGCCTAAACTGAAAATCTAACAGCTTCATTTATAATGGTTTTGTGCACATGGATTTGATCTTAAGACAGACAGAAATAATCTACAAAACGGGATTTTGACGTGAAAAGTGCAAATCGATGAGGCAAATCAATTACTGAGGGGGCACTTCATCCATCCACAAGATTTACTTCATAAATAATCCATCTTACAACTTTAAAAACACAACAGGTAATCACTCGAAAATTAATTAGACAACATGATAAATGATTGTCACTAGTGGTTGATTCTGTAAGCTATATTTAAGTGCACTTACATTACTGTAATCTTTGCTCTATTTTTTTAATGATTAAGTAAAATAAGCCACTTTTGTAAGCCTGTTAAATTAGTGAGTTCCAAGTCTGTAGAACAGATCTGCTGTGCTATAATCTTTTCTTTCTCTCTGGAATCATTTATACGTAAACAAGTTAAACGATGGGCAGAGTTGAAAATTCTATGACCATTTGTGATTTATAAACTCAATTTGGACTTGAGTTGAATGGGGGCCAGAGATGTGCAGTATCTGTTCAATGTACTCTTGATGTCTGACTAGCCAAGACCTGTAAAGTTGTTTTTTTGTGCTGCTACTTTTGTATTTTTGTTTTTTTTGTATTTTTTTACAGCCATTCATCAGAGTAACAATATTTTTACTGAAGGATGAGTTTTGGCTCCTCTAACTACCTCAATGTATGAGTTTCCCTCAGAGGCAGTAAAATAAAACATTTTAAACACATAATATATTTTGGTAAAATGGAATAAAACAATACAAATACATAATTTATTCATTTTGTTATTACAACTTAAATATTATAAAGGCTTACTTACGTGCATTGGGGTTTCCAGGAACAGGGATGAAGCCTGAAAGACAGAAAATGAATATAGAATTATTGTGAGAAGTATGTATAGAACATGGTCTACTTCATACAAATTTTCTTAAAAATAATTATGAAAACTGAGAAAAACTAGTATTGAGAGTCAAACTGGGTTAGCATCACAGAATCTTTAATATTACTAATCCAATCTACTTTTAAACTTCTTAACTTTGTTGTAAATGTGGTATGATGTAGCATAAAATTTACTATCAAGAATGCAAGTTCAAAATCAAAATCAAATTTTTGCACTTCCACAAACTAAATATTTGTCTCCTTCCTCTCTTACCAGGCTTCTTCTTCCAAATGAAAACTCCCACAAAGACAATGATGACAAACAGGAGAACAACCATGACCGCACTAATGATGATACCAACTGACCCTCCACCTGAAACACCACAGTTACATCATTGTACATTTATATTAGTTGCACACAGTGACTTGTACATGGATTTTGTACTTTTATTACACTCTTCTATAATCCAAGAATAGTTCAGCCAGTTTGCATTAAAGTCCCTGTAGTTACTGAATAATAAGCACTTTGTATGTGATAAACCTGAGATTTAATGGGTTAATGAGTAAAATAATGAAATTCTCCATGTGATCATTAATATATAGTTGTGTGCAAATGATTAGGCACTCCAGGCACACGTACATATTCTGGTGACTTTTGTAGTGAAAATAACCACTACAGCAAACTATTTATAAAAGCAAATATTTCAGCAATATTAATCACTTTACTTTATATGTGATTATCTTAAATGAAACAGTGAAAAAGTTGGGTACCCTACTACAAGTTTTCTAAAATCTTAAAGGGTCCATGTTTCTATAGAAACATGGCCATTTTCAGCCATTTTCAGCCTCTCTTTATTCCTTAGAATTAAACAGCATGTTTTTGTGGCGACAGTAATTGAAATGCTAATAAAAACAGACATTAGTGGTTAGTAAATTTTGTTGACCTGTAAAAACACATTATTTGATGTTGTCTTATTAACTTCATTGTTTATGTAAACATGTGCTTGTTCCAAATTTAATGCCTGCAACATGTACCAAAAAAGCTGGGACAGGGCCATGTTTACCACTGTATTTATCACTTTTCTTTTCAGCAAAACTTTGGGGCCTGAAGACACAAACTGATCCCGTTTTGAAAGATGCTGACCTTTGAACTTTATGCTGGTAACAATCTGGATGGTTCTTTACTTCTTTGGCCTGAAGAACACAATGTCCATTATTTCCATAAACAATCTCAAGAGTTGACTCATCGGGTGACAATACATGTTTCTACTGTGCATCAGTCCATTTCAGATGAGCTCGAGCTCAGAGAAGTCGGACGTGTTTCAGGACACTGCTGACATATGACTGAAACTGTGAATAATACAGTCTCAACTTGTGGATTCAGTGACGGAAGATGTTTATAGATAGGTGTTAGAACAGTTTGTGTTCCTGACCATAGAACAGTATTCCTGACCATATGTGGTGATATCCAGCACAGAAACATGCTGGTTTTGGTCATGACCATTCAGCTGTGGTTTTCACCCTTTTCCTTCATGCACAGATACACTATATTGCCAAAAGTACAAGGTGCCTTTATGGTCAGATTCTTTTCTGGTCAGTTTCATTCCTGATATTAACTGAAATAAGACATGCATGATGTATAAACGTCTGAAATAAAGCTGGATATACACTATATTTCCAAAAGTATTCACTCACCCATCCAAATCATTGAATTCAGGTGTTCCAATCACTTCCATGGCCACAGGTGTATAAAACCAAGCACCTAGGCCTGCAGACTGCTTCTACAGACATTAGTGAAAGAATGGGTCACTCTCAGGAGCTCAGTGAATTCCAGCGTGGTACTGTGATCGGATGCCACCTGTGCAACAAGTCCAGTCGTGAAATTTCCTCACTACTAAATATTCCACAGTCAACTGTCAGTGGTATTATAACAAAGTGGAAGCGATTGGGAACGACAGCAACTCAGCCACGAAGTGGTCGGCCACGTAAAATGACAGAGCAGGGTCAGCAGATGCTGAGGCGCATAGTGAGGTCACCAACTTTCTGCAGAGTCAATCACTACAGACCTCCAAACTTCATGTGGCCTTCAGATTAGCTCAAGAACAGCGTAGAGAGCTTCATGGAATGGGTTTCCATGGCCGAACAGCTGCATGTGTCGAATGCAGTGGTGTAAAGTGCCGCCACTGGACTCTAGAGCAGTGGAGACGTTCTCTGGAGTGACCAATCACGCTTCTCCACCAGAAGAACGGTACTTGTCTGACTGCATTGTGCCGAGTGTAAAGTTTGGTGGAGGGGGGATTATGGTGTGGGGTTGTTTTCAGGAGTTGGGCTCGGCCCCTTAGTTCCAGTGAAAGGAACTCTTAATGCTTCAGCGCCAAGAGATTTTGGACAATTTCATGCTCCCAACTTTGTGGGAACAGTTTGGGGAGTTTGGCCCCTTCCTGTTTCAACATGACTGCGCACCAGTGCACAAAGCAAGGTCCATAAAAATGGATGAGTGAGTTTGGTGTGGAAGAACTTGACTGGCCTGCACAGAGTCCTGACCTCAACCCGACAGAAAACCTTTGGGATGAATTAGAGCAGAGACTGTGAGCCAGGCCTTCTCATCCAACATCAGTGTCTGACCTCACAAATGTGCTTCTGGAAGAATGGGCAGAAATTCCCATAAACACTCCTAAACCTTGTGGAAAGCCTTCCCAGAAGAGTTGAAGCTGTTATAGCTGCAAATGGTGGGCCGACATCATATTAAACCCTATGGATTAAGAATGGGATGTCACTCAAGTTCATATGCGTGTGAAGGCAGACGACCGAATACTTTTGGCAATGTGTATTTTTCCAGATTCCCTGTATCTTTTGATATTGTTATGCACTGTAGAGGGTGAGCCCCAATCCACTGTTGCTTATAATGCACAAGGCTTTTCTGACGCTTCTATTATGGTCAAGCATGATTGCATTACCTGTTTAAAATGTTTTCTGATCATTTCACAATGTTCCTAGTCTTAAATTGCAAGCTTTTCTCAGTTACTAGTGGTTTGAATGGTTTGTTGTAAAGACCACTTCACTGTGCAAAATGTAAATAAAAACAAAATGCAATGATGTGCAACTCATTTAAACCCTATATTTCATTGAAAATAGTACAAAGACAACATATCAAATATTGAACGTGAAAAATTTTATTGTTTTATTTTTTTTTTAAATATATCGCCCTTTTGAATTTGATGCCAACAATCTGTTCCAAAAAAGTTCCAAAAAAGGGATGGGGCAACAAGAGGCTGGTAAAGTTATGTAAGGGTAAACAAAACACCTGGTTGATTCGCAACAGGTCAGTAACATGATTGGGTATAAAAAAGCATCACAAAGAGTCTTTCAGAAGTAAAGATGAGGAGGGTTCACCAATCTGTGAAAGACTGCACGATCACTTGCAACAATTCAAGAATAACGTTTCTCAACATAAAATAGCAAAGAACTGTTGCTTTTCATCATCTACAGTACATAATATCATTATAAGATTCAGAGAATCTGGAGAAATCTCTGTATATAAGGGACAAGGCCAAAAACCAGTATTTGCTGGCTGTGATCTTCGGGCCCTCAGGCAGCACTGCATTAAAAAGAGACATGATTCTGTAGTGGAAATCACTGCATGGGCTCAGAAACACTTCTGAAAACCACTGTCTGTGAAAACAGTTTGTTGCTGCATCCACAAATTTCTTCTACGTACAAAGAAGAAACTGTACATAAACAGGATCCAGAAACACTGCCACCTTCTCTGGGCCTGAGCTCATTTAAAATGGACTGAGGGGAAGTGGAAAAGTGTCCTGTGGTCTGACGGATCAACATTTAAAATTCTTTTTGGAAATCATGGACACTGTGTCCTCCGGGCAAAGACCACTCAGCTTGTCATCAGAGTACAGTTCAAAAGCCAGTATTCATGATGGTATAGGGGTGAATTAGTACACACGGCATGGGTGACGTGCACATCTCCGAAGGCACCATTAATGCTGAATGATATATACATGTTTTGGCAACATAGACTGCCATACAGATGACATCTTTTTCAGGGAAAACCTTGATTATTTCAGTAAGATAATGTAAAACCACATTCTGCATGTACTACAACAGCATTGCTCTGTATTAAAAGAGTCCAGGGGCTAAACTGACCTGCCTGCAGTCCAGACCTCTCACCACTAAAAAAATTTGAAGGGTTATGAAATGAAAAATACAAGAACTGTTGAGCAGCGGAAATCCTATATCAAACAAGAATGAGAAAACATTTTGCTTTCAAAACTACAGCAGTGTCTCCTCAGTTTCCAAATACAGAGTGTTGTTAAACGATGAGGTGATGAAACACAGTGGTAAACATGCCAGCTTTTTTGGAATGCGTTGTTGGCATTAAATTTAAAATGGGCATATATTTTTCAAAAAACAATAAAATTTCTCAGTTTCAACATTTGATATGTTGTCTTTGTAGCATTTTCCTTTAAAATTATGATTTACATGATTTGCATATCATTGCATCCTATTTTTATTGACATTCTGCACAGCGCCCAACTTTTTTGGAAATGCGGTTATACAAGCATTTAACGTATTGTCTGTTTACTCTTCACCAGAAGCTCTGTCTATAAGTCACTCAAAGCATCAAAGGGTGCAGAAATAAGATGGATAGATTTTATGCTGAAACATAGATTTTTTAAATCTATTCATGGTGTAGCGGTACATGCTGTTGCTAGTACATGTTTGCTCAGATTTTCCATTATTTCACCATCATTAAAATTACATATAAGCTCAGAAGACTTGTGTAGGTTCACTGGTGGTTTTGTATAGTAAATAAAATGTCTGTATTTGTGTTGTAGTCATGGTGACCCCTGGTTCCTATCACCACCACTGTAAAGACATCAGAACCATTTCACACCAAACCACTCTGAATGACTCTGTTTACATCTCAAACACCGAAATATGCAGACATTTTGAAAAAATGATGAATTACATTTTTTTAAATGTAAAGTGCGTTAAAATTTAAGTTACTTGTTCTTTTTTGCTCTGAGTCAATGTTTGTAATGTCATAATTTGACTTGTAACCAGTTGGTTTGTCTGGGTTTTTTACAAATGAGATGTCAAGAGGTTTGTACACATTCAGGGCAGTCAACTTGCTCCAGAGTTCTCCTACCTGGCAGGACTCTACGTTCAGTCACTGGTAGCACCATCTCCTTTCCCAGGCTGCTGTGCTGAATGATGCAGGTGTAGTTGTGTTTGTTCAGCTCCTCAGGTGAGACAGTCAGAACGCTCCTCTTCTGGAAGGTTCCATCCTGGTTGGGTAGCGTCTCTCTGAGCTCCACGTCCTCATGCAGATCCTCTCCATTCTTCTGCCAGGAGATCATCACTGCTTTGGGGAAGAAACCTGTAGCAAGACACACCACTGGAGAAGAAGAGTCCTTCTGGAACAGAGACACCTCAGGAGGGACTGGAGAGAGAGAGAGAGAGAGAGAGAGAGAGAGAGAGAGATAGAGAGAGAGAGAGAGAGAGAGAGAGAGAGAGAGATTTTTGTTGTGTTATATTACTTTTCTGCATGTAACTTTTTAAAAACTCAGCTACCATAACAGATCAGATCACTGTACCTTTCCTCTCCAGAAAGGATCTGCCATGACCCACAAAATCCTGCAACCAATCAATACATTCAGTCTCCAGGTAGTGTTTAACATACGGAGCCATACTAGCAGTACTCCATGTATCCCACGAGTGTTTGGTAATAACAGCTTTAGCGTTAGCTGCAGTGAAGGTGACAGTGTTCAGATCAAAGCTGAGCCAGTCTTCACCATCATAACCAAACTGAAAGTATCCTGTCTTGGTTCCGTCATCATGCAGCTCACAGCCGTACATCCTCTGCACTGTCTGAACACCTACAGACACACACACACACACACACACACACACACACACACACACAGTACTTTAAACACTGAATTAGTACACCACAGCATTCACTAACACTCTTCTCCACACTCCTTTAACTCAATCACCAGCACAGTTATAAACCTATTACATTTTTTAGTCTAAGGCCCCTATTTGTCTATAGAAAGTGCCTCTTTGCCCCTACTTCCTCCCCTCTTTGTGCTCCACCCCCCGCTCATTAATTTCACTTAAAGAATCATTTCTTAGCATCAGAATACTGTCCAGCTACTGCTGCCCTGGCATGGCCCTGTTCTTGTATGGCAGTGTTCTTGGAACTTTATACTGACATTTATCAGAGTGGGTGATATGAAGCATCTATACTGCCCCCGGTGTTGTGGAGAGGCAATCTCCCTCTCCTTATTTGATAGTGAAATTAAAGCCTCTAGCTGTGTTTTCAGTGTCTCTTGATTTAAAAAATTGATTTGGATTCGGTGTAGTCGATAACTGACACAGCTGTTGTCCTAACAAGTTTAGACAGTAACAGTTATCTGTTCAAGTAATACATAACTAGAGCTGGGCAATATGGCAAGTATATAATATCACTACACTTCAGGAAACATGATGCAGTATGTATTTTTCTTTGATAGCAGTGCCACCTTAAAAATTACAACAAGTTTTTCCAACATTTCACCTACTATACTGCACTCATTCTAATGAAACAGGGCTAATTATGCTCTCCAAATCACACAGTCGATCAGTGTTATTTAAGTACTGATGATATCCACAACATGATAAAGGCACATTGTGTTGTAATTTATCACAGTGTAAACATTGGGCCTTATTCACCAACTGTTCTAACGAAGAAATTTCCTCTTAACCCCTTAAAATCCCAAGCTTTTTATTTAGTAAACACAGGGATTAAAATTCAAACTGGCTGAGCTATTTTTAGGTTATAGAAGTGTGCAATAAACTTGTGGACCCTGGCCATTTAAGGGGTTAAACTCACACAGTTTTTACGAAGATTCTTCATTTACCAATGACCAGTGTTTTTTATTTGGGATTTGGTCTAGAAGAACAGAATTTACACACACTCAAGAGCCCAAAGATGAGAACAATTCTGTGGTTTAAAAACAACTGTCATAAGATCTTTCTCAAGAACTAATTTAAGAAAAAAACTTAGAAACTTAGGAAGACATTAGTGAATGAAGCCCACTGTCATACTGAACAGCTCTACACAACAGCTAATAAAAATATTACTACAGGCGCTACCTGTTTGTTTGTCTAAACACTTTGAAAACAGCAACTAAACGATAAGATGAGATGAGATGAGAAGAGATAAGATAAGAGATAAGATAATCCTTTTTTTTAGTCCCACAATGGGGAAATTCTCAGTGTTACAGCAGCAAAGGGACAGCAAGACACTCAAGAAAAGAAATAACAAGAAGAGAGCTAACAAGCAATTAATTAACTTTGATAATTACTTAACAAGGTTTTTTACAGTTTGTTACTTGTTACTGTATAGACAATATGTATAATACAAAAAGAAAAAAATAAGATAAAAATAAACTCTTTCCTTCACAAAAATTAACAATATAAAAAATTCTAAATAAATAAAAGCTAAGATATTTACACTGTAAGGATATTTTGCCCAAAATTCACATGGAGTTTTGCACATGAGGTACTGGTTTATATTACACATGGGATGGTGAGGAGTCAACAATATAAACATTATAAACAGAAAGCATAAAATCTTTACACTATAGAGATGTTTTACAGTATTCCACATGGAGTGATGATTATATTGCACACAAGAAATGGTGATAAATTCACTGTAGGTTCTGTAGGTGTGTGAGGTCTACTGGGGATGGTGGAGGTTCTACTGGGAGCAGTGCTGGTTGTACAGTCTAACAGCAGCAGGACGGAAGGACCTGTGAAAGCGCTCCTTCACACACTCGGGGTGAAGCAGCCTGTCACTGAAGGAGCTGCCCAGTGCTACCAGAGTATCATGCATGGGGTGGGAGCTGTTCTCCAGCTCTACATATAGTACATATATACTCACCTTCAGTCTGATTTAAGCGCTCCATCAGATTACCAATGTAGGCTTTGAAGTCCTCCTGAGCCCTCACTACATTATTTGTCTCTCTGCTCCAGAAATCTTCACCCTTATTCTTCTCCATCCAGTCTGTCTTTGGGATCATCTTCCTGATGTTACTGTCATAGTACTCAGTCTGCACTTCATCCACCAGACCAACAACAGTGAACTCTGGGAAATTTATTCCTGTGACTCCAGTGTAGAAGTAGCGCAGAGAGTGGGAAGCTGAAAAAGATGAAAAGAATAACCACTGAAATCAATAAACAGGAATGAGTCGTAACATTTTTGCGGTGACCTTTCTGTGCATGTTCTAGTCATCATCTCCACACCAAGTTAACCTACCAGTTCTTCTTAAAACAGACTTAATTGGCTTATATTACACAAACTTTTTATTCCTGTAATAAGTGGGATTTCTCGATTCTTCTGGATAGAAGGGCTACAACAAATATTCAAAACATTACAAAACGGAAAAGCCATTTGAATAACCAAAATTTTTGCCAGATATTTGTTGTTCTGAAAGTTCGATTGATTGTTAACAGTTTGGCATGTTTGCTTAAAATCAGGTTGTTCTCAATCATATGAGGGTGGAGAAGAAAACACAGGTCTTATTTCATTTGCTCATGGTTTACTCATTATTTATTTCATTATTGGTTGGCACACTATTCTCAACTCAGCAGGAAAACACCAACAATTCCACTCATACCAGTGCAAGACTGTCTAACATGTCACCAGCTTACTGGAGTCGGTGCTGTCTGATCAGTGGTGGTCCTATGGTGGTCCCTTTCCACTGTCGAAGGATGGATATCAGTAATTTTTTACTCATAAAGTGTACCTACACAGCAGGCTTATCAAATAAAATGGCCAGTGAAAGCAGGCACAAGGTAGGCACCTTTAATAAACTCAGTGTAGAAAAGACATTAAATCTAAAATCACTTGCTGCACCATTCATTGTTGATTTTACTGTTGCAAAATGCTAATGAAATTGGCATAGGGAAAAATTAAGGTAGGTATTGCACTAATTCCAAAATCCAAAGGTTGTGCATCATTGCTACCTCCTAACTGCACCATTCAGCGTTGTCTGTGATTTAAATGCCATTGCAATTACAATTGAAAAAAAAGAAAGAACAAAAAATAGATATTGCATTAAAATCAAAAAGTCTGTGTATCATTATAATCTGAAGTCTGTGTATCATTGCTGCCACCTAGCTGCAATATTCACCATCTATTTTAATGTTATATGTAATTTGGTTAAAATGCTATTGAAATTTTAAAATTTAAAAATTGCAAAGTAAAATAGTAAAAAAAAAGTGCAATATACACTGACATGTCAAAAGTCATGGGACAGGAACTAGTATTGTGTAGGACCCCCTCTAGCCTGGTGAAGTGAAGTAATTCAACGTGGCATTGATTCCACAAGTGGACAGAAGACGTCTGGAGGGATGTTGAGCCATGCTGTCTGGATAGCCACCCACAGCACTGTGGTGTTTGTAGGTGCAGGATCTCTGGTGTGAATGGACCTCTCACCACATCCAGTTACCCCTTGTGTGGTGTTGGTGTGTTTGTTACTGAGTGGTCTGGTGGACCCACCGCATTATTGTTTTATCAATGCAGCTGTAACAATTCATGTAAAAATACCAGATGTTTAAAATATCACAAATGTCCACCTTTAGCAGCTATAGCCAGTCAGCAGCCTGTCCATGTTGTCCACCCTCACACACACACACAAACACACACACACACACACACACACACATACACAAACACTTACAAACACAGACACACACACTAACAGCAGGCCATGTAGGAGGAGAACAGAGTGAAGGACACAGCACCTCCACACTTTTACTCCCTGCAGGTTCACCCAACACCATGTAATATAAATATGCAAGGGGTGAACAGAGTGAAGGCACTGAAAATGGGTTATTGTATATGTTCTTCACAGAAAATGATCAAAGGCCAAGGAATCTGAGGTTGAAATAATAATAATAAATCATCGAAAAAAGGTCCCCCAGACTCCAACACCACACAAGGGTAAATGCTCGATTGGGGTGAATGTGCAGGACTAAACAAGAACTGTGAACCTTTTCACAAATCAGCCTGGGCAGTTTGAACCTGGTTTTATTCATCTGAGAGCTCAACTTTTGAAGTTATAAGCTTTAGAAAATAAAACGCTGATGTGTAATATTGGTGGATTTTGGTGTGGAAAATAATGTCATCTGAATTCACAAATCAGGACTAACAAAATGCACCAGTGTTTGCAGATATACGTCACTGCATTCTGGATTTATAGCCGATAGAAATCCAAAATGCTAACCGCAAGCCAACTTTACTGTGGTAAAGGACCAGGCTACGCGACCACTGCTACCCAGTCTGCTGCTAGCTAATGTTCACTTGCTCTTATTCTCAAGGAGACCTGGCTCTCGGGCAGCATGCCAGACTCAATGATCCAGCTCCAAATGCACTCTGTCCCTCACACAACAGCTTCAGGAAAGAACAGATGCAGCGGTTTCTGCGTCTACGTGAACAACAAGACATTATCAACAAAAAAGAGAATGCACACCCAGATGCTGTGTTCATCATAGCTAGCAATTTCAATCACTGCAGCTTATGAACTGTACTTCAGGAGTGTGAAGTCCAGGACAACAAGACTGACAAACAGTTGCGGTCTACAAGCCATCAAGCTGGTGAATGACTCTTTCTAACTGATTAAACACTGGCTACCACACACACATTATTTAATTGAATGCTACTGAACTCCACACACATTCATACATTTGTTGCTGCCCTCTGTCACTTTATGACCGCTGCTCTCTGTTCTTTGCACAATACTGCACATGTAATTTTTGACTACTAAGTTTACTTATTTTTCTCTACCTCTTTATTTTTGAGCTTTTGGGACCGGGAGGATTAGCAAAGTAAGAATTGCATTGCACAGTGTAACTGCCTATTTTACTGTGCATATGGCAATAAAACTCTTGGATCCTGAATCTTGAAATAAATGAAATTGATAAAGTATGGCCAACCATGAACAGAATGGAAAACAAAGTCTAATTTCTAGTTGGTGCTTTGTATTCTCATAAATATCACTATTAACACAATCAAGTTCAAACATGAGCTTTTCCACCAATATGGAAACCCTGCAAGTCTGCTCAGATTTAAAAACGCTTTTCAGGATCACAAGTCACTAGGAACTGAACTCTCTAGTTTGATTTCAGAACTGAAAGCACCTTCACTGAAAGCTCTTGTGCTTTCACTATTTTATTGCCAAGTATTAGTGCTGCTGGAAGGACATCATTAACTGGCTAGGAATCAATAAAATGCTTTAAATTCCCTTTTAATGTAACCCACATTCTTGGGCACTCCATTAACAGATCATTGTCCTATTTCTTTATTTTTGAAACTAGTAACCCAGCCACCATTGAAAAGAGACTAGTGGAAATTAAACTCAGAGCTTTTGAAAAGATTAGGAGTACTGCAGAGAAAAAAGACACTCATTATCTAAAGTAAGGAGGACATTAACTGAATTAACTAAAGGAATAAATGGAAGTTTTCAACAGAGTTTAGTAAAAGACCAAATGAAGTTACTGACAAAGTTAATTCAAGAAATAAATGATTGCATTAACAAAGAAGTGATGACAGAGAAAGATCTAAAGCTAAACAGATGGGAAAAAGTCAAGTAAATACAACCCCTTTTCCAAAATACTTGTGACACTGTGCAAAATATAAATAAAAACATAATGGTACAAAGACAACATATCAAATGTTGAAACTGAGAATTTTTATTGCTTTTTGAAAAATATATCCCCCTTTTGAATTTGATGAACAACATGTTCCAAAAAATTGGGATGGGGCAGCAAAAGGCTGGTAAAGTTGTGTAATGCTAAAAAACACCTGGTGGTTAATTGGCAGCAGGTCAGTAACATGACTGGGTATAAAAGAGCATCTCAGAGAGGCGGAGTCTTTCAGAAAGATGAGGAGGGGTTCACCACTCTGTGAAAGACTGCACCATCAAATAGTGCAACAATTCAAGAATAACGCTTCTCAACATAAAATAGCAAAGAACTTTTGCTTTTCATCATCTACAGTACATAATAACACTAAAAGATTCAGAGAATCTGGAGAAATCTCTGTATGCAAGGGACAAAGCCAAAAGCCAGTATTTGCTGGTGTGATCTTTGGGCCCTCAGGCAGCACTGCATTAAAAACAGACATGGTTCTGTAGATTCACTGCATGAGCTCAGAAACACTTCTGAAAACCACTGTCTGTGAAAACTATTTGTTGCTGCATCCACAAATGCAAGTTAAAACTCTAAAATGCAAAGAAGAAACCAAATATAAACAGGATCCATAAACACTGCCACCTTCTCTGGGCCTGAGCTCATTTAAAATGGACTGAGGCGAAATGGAAAAGTGTTCTGGGGTCCGATGAATCAACATTTGCAATTCTTTTTGGGAATCATGGACACTGTGTCCTCCAGGCTAAAGACCACTCAGCTTGTTATCAGTGTACAGTTCAAAAGCCAATATTCATGATGGTATAGGGGGCATTAGTGCACATGGCATGGGTGACGTGCAAATCTGTGAAAGCACCATTAATGTCAAATGACATATGCAGTTTTTGGAGCAAAATATGCTGCCATACAGACGACGTCTTTTTCAGGGAAGGCCTTGATTATTTCAGCAAGATAATGTCAAACCACATTCTGCATTTATTACAGCAGCACTGCTCTGTATTAGAAGAGTCTGGGCGCTGAACTGTTAAACTGTAAACTGCACCAACTGTTGATCAGCTGAAATCCTATATCAAACAAGAATAGGAAAACATTTCACTTTCAGAACTACAGCAGTGACTCCTCAGTTCCCAAACGCTTACAGAGTGTTGGTAAAAGAAGAGGTGATGAAACACAGTGGTAAACAGGCCCCCATCCCAACTTTTTTGGAATGTGTTGTTGGCGAGGGAGTTGGAGCACACTGGTTGAAAACCCCTGACACCCACTGTACACTGTATTACAGATCAACTGGTCCCGGTAAAAGTAGTTTTCTACACATGCGTGACAGATTGGTCACGGAATGCAGATCAGGTAGCGACAGAGGTCCTTACCAAAGGGTCTAGTGAGGGCACATAGAGGGTGCTAGTGAACACCCCTTTGAGCAGTAAAATGAGAACTGCAAGTGCAACTGTGAACTGCTTTTGTCAATTAATGCTATTCCTCTTGTCATGACTCAGTTAATCAAATGTGAATTAGTCTGCGCGTCTGTAGTATCAAGGTTGATCAGTCTGTTCATTACTGGCTGCACTTTCAGAGAAAAAAGATGTAATAATAAGGTTATGAGGTCATTTTCATCCCCACTCAAAAGGAGATACTTGGCAGCAGAGAAAAGAACTAAAATTTGAACAAGATATATTTGTTTTGCTCTGTTACCTAAAGCTAAGGAAGTACACTTTGAAATGATCCGTGCAATGAATTCTTAAAATAATAAATGAATGCAGATTTGAATACTTGCATTCTCAGTGGAAATAGATTTAATAGAGTATCAATTGTAGTCATACAAGCTAGTTAAAGCTAGCTAATAAACAGCCGCTCACACAGATCATACTGAATATCAGACTGAGATCAGACTCACCTGCTGACGTTAGATGAGCGGTAACTGAGAGGAGAAGCAGGTATTTCAGTACACCGTGCTCCATTTTCAGCACAGCAGCATGATTTACTTTTCCGTTACCTTAGTGCTGCCTTCACTGAGAGCTCAGCAGCAGCCGAAGCAGTGGGCATGTTGCCCATTTCATTCAAAAGCAGCTTCCGTCCAGTCATAGGTAAGGAAGCAGTGCATCGTCATGTGTTGCTAGGATCAAATGAATTCTCCAGGTTGATTTCAAAACTGAAAGTAAAATAGAACGTTACCCATCACGTGACTCTCCGCTGCCACTGACTACATGCCCTCACAGTGTCTCTGACTGACTGTCTGACTCTGAGCTCTTTAGTATTTCACTGAGCTCCTTCACTGGGAAGGTGGGAAAACCACTAATAGGTCAGTTTTGCTGTGCAGTATGGAGCCCATGAAAGGACATGATGTATTTTTTAATGGATGACTATTATAAACCAAACCTGTCTTCCAGAGGAGAAGAGTTAGCTTATTTTTTTTATCTTGTGATAATTATCTGTAGATAAATATCCCAAGACATAATTGGCATAATTATCTTAAGAGTATACATCTGGAGATAATAATCCTGTCGAAAACATTTCAGGATAATATAGATATATAGAGGAAAGTGTTCCCCACTCCGCCTTGTAGGTGGTATAAACCAATACAGCTTTCGGGCAGCATTCCATTTACTTATCTCCCAAAGCCCACTGTCCATTTTCAGGGCATGCTGGACGCTGTGGCTCCGTGATTGGAGCTGTTCTGACAGAAGCTGACCGCTTTATTTTCAACTTGGTCTGAAATACAACGATGCTCTCTCGGTGCTCCCCAACATACATTGTTAAATTATATCAGCGTGACTTAAGGTTCTGAAGGTGTTTGCAGAACCATGAACTTGCCAGTTTAAACCAGAACACACTTCAAAACACCAGAGGCTGGGAAGAAGTGAATAACACTCCCCGAACAGCACTGCTGCCATCTAGAGTCCAGAGTGGGTACAACACCCTCATATAGACACATTCATAAATAAGAAGTGAATAAAACAGTGAATTAAATAAAATAAAATGAGAAATTTAAATCTATCGAGTACCATAAGCAGTGCTTCTGAACAGTCATTGTTCATAAATGTAATGGAGTGAGAAAAAAAAAAGTTGGTTTGTTTTAACCCTCATTAGACTTTGTTGGCAGTGGAGATAAAGCTGTCCTACTTGAAGCCTCTGGTCATTGCTCCTCCCAGGAACATGAATTGCTCTCCTGCCATCACAGTCTTCAAGTCCAACATCATCTCCACTGATTTGTGTTCAGATTGAAGTTGTCCACTATTTTCCCATCATCAACATTCCATATAAAACTCAAAAGACTTGTGTAGGTTCACTGGTGGTTTTGGATAGTAAATACAATGCCATTTCCAAAAAATTTGGGACACTATGCAGAATGTAAATAAAAATAGGATGCAGTGATGTGCAAATCATGTAAACCATATTTTTAAAGAAAAATACTACAAAGACAACATATCAAATGTTGAAACTGAGAAATGTGATTGTTTTTTGAAAAATATATGCCCATTTTGAATTTGATGCCAATAACATGTTCCAAAAAAGTTGGGATGGGGCATGTTTACCACTGTGTTTCATCACCTCTTCTTTTAAAAGTTCTTTGCTGTTTTATGTTGAGAAACGTTCTATAACTATTTACCCATGCAGTCTTTCACAGAGTGGTGAACTCCTCCTCATCTTTACTTCTGAAAGGCTCAGACTCTCTGAGAGACTCTTTTCATACCCAATTAATACTGACCTGTTGTCAATCAACCACCAGGTGTTTTTTTTTTCAGCATTACACAACTTTACCATTTTTTGTTGCCCCCGTCCCAACTTTTTTGGAATGTATTTTTGGCATCAAATTCAAAATGGGCATATATAAAACAATAAAATTTCTCAGTTGCAACATTTGATTTGTTGACTTTGTACTATTTTCAATAAAATATAGGGTTTAAATGATTTGCACAGCATTGCAGCATGCAGACATATCCCTCCTGAAAATAACCAAATGTAAGAAGTAAATAAACCACTATAACCTTAATATGATAGATACAATGTAATATCTGTTAATAAATAAACCGCAGTATAAACACAGACTGTCTGATGTAAATTTACTGAAATAAAATTATATGCTGTTAAATTTGACATTGACAATATCAGGAATGTGTTTCATTATATGAGATTCTTGTTTACCGTTTATGTTGAAAACATCTTCACTGTATTGTGTGATATTTATTATCAACAGTATTTATTATCAACCGTCTCATCATGTATAGATCAGAAAATTAATCTATTCATTTTACACAGTGTAAAAGAAGGAAGTGAAAACAGATTAAACATGTTGATTGTAAAATGCAGACGTTTGGATGTAATTTTTTGTCTTCAGTCAAACTGGCAAAACACTGAAAAGCAAAAATCTGGATTGAGCACATTTTTGTTATTGTTTAATTTAAGAGTACACTTATTTTACATGTATTACACATATTCTTCTAATTGTACTGCACTCAAACATCTTTACACTCCTCCTGAAACTTGTTCTTTAAATCACTGTCAGTATTCAGTATTCAGTAAATCGCCAGTATTCATGATGGTATAGGGGTGCATTAGTGCACATGGCATGGATGGCATGCACATCTGTCAAGGCACCATTAATGCTAACAATATATACATGTTTTGGCAACAATGCTGCCATCTAGACGATGTCTTTTTCAGGGAAGGCCTTGATTATTTCATCCAAATTACAGCAAGACAATGTCAAACCATCAGCATACAGCAGCATGGCTCTATAGTAAAAGAGTCCGGGCGCTAAACTGACCTGCCTGCAGTCCAGACCTGTCAACACTGAAAACATTTGTATCATTGTATCATTGTATCATTGTAATCATTGTAAACCTTCGTTATCTACACAAATGCAGTGATTTTATTTCAGCATAAATAAAGCTTTGATACCTTTAAGAATAACTTTTCTCCTACCTTGCAGGAGGACTCTACGTTCAGTCATTGGTAGCACCATCTCCTTCTCCAGGATATTGTGCTTTATGAAGCAGGAGTACTGATTCCTGTCCAGCTCCTCAGGTGAGACATTCAGAACGCTCCTCTTCTGGAAGGTTCCATCCTGGTTGGGTAGCGTCTCTCTGAGCTCCACGTCCTCATGCAGATCCTCTCCATTCTTCTGCCAGGAGATCATCACTGCTTTGGGGAAGAAACCTGTAGCATGACACACCACTGGAGAAGAATCCTTCCGGAACAGAGACACCTCAGGAGCAACTGAAAAGGGGAGGGAGGGGGTCATTAAGACTGGACAATCGTTTCAGTATGCAGAAACATCTACTACAACAGTCCCATACAGACACATAGGGCCACATAATGTATTTCGACTCTATTTAAGAGACAATGAAAAAGTAATTTATGTTATCGGAGAGATCAGGGAGTTTTTCTGTTAAACATTCCCTTCCTTACATTTTCCACTTACTGCAGATATCAAACAAAGACCAGACCAGAAAAATCAACCCTTAGAGAAATTGTCCAAAATCTCTTGGTCTGCTGAAGCAATAAAGAGTTCCTTTCACTGGAACTAAGGGGCCGAGCCCAACTCCCGAAAAACAACCCCACACGATAATCCCCCTCCACCAAACTTTACACTTGGCACAATAAAGTCAGACAAGTACTGTTCTCCTGGCTACCGCCAAACCCAGACTCGTCCATCAGATTGCCAGATGGAGAAGCGTGATTGGTCACTCCAGAGAACACGTCTCCACTGCTCTAGAGTCCAGTGGCGGCGCTTTACACCACTGCATTCGACGCTTTGCATTGCGCTTGGTGATTTAAGGCTTGGATGCAGCTGCTCGGCCATGGAAACCCATTCCATGAAGCTCTCTACGCTGTTCTTGAGCTAATCTGAAGGCCACATGAAGTTTGGAGGTCTGTAGTGTTTGACTCAGAAAGTTGGCGACCTCTGCGCACTATGCACCTCAGCATCCACTGACCCCACTCTGTCATTTTACGTGGCCGACGACTTCGTGGCTGAGTTGCTGTCATTTCCAATCGCTTCCACTTTGTTATAATACCACTGAGCATAAACACAGTAACAGACACTTGAGGGTGTTGCTCTAAATCAGATCTACGGCAGGAAACAAATCCATTCACATGAAAAATAACTGACTGTGTAGAGACCCTTCTGAAGTCTGACTCTCCACGTTTCTTCCACTTTGGGTCTTGAGTCTTTCATAGTCATGAGGCTCAAGTCTGAGTCAAAGTCTGAGTCATTGGTGTTCAAGTTAAAGTTGAATCCCAAGTTTTTTTTGATTCTGTGGGGTCTCAAGTCATCAAATTTGTGCCTCAAGTCTGACTCGAAGTCCCAGTCATATGACTCGAGTCCACACCTCTGGTTTTCTGTAGAGGAAGTGTGAAAGTGGCATGAAAATCAATTCAACATGCCACTTGACCAGGGGTGTGCATTTGAAGAACTTTTGCATTCACTGTGTAAGTCACTTATCTGAACCAGACCAGAAACATATGTTTACTTTTTGATTTATTAAGTGATTCATTGAATTTATCGTATATCTAGAAGTTTTATAAACAAATATGTAAATATGTAAATGTAAAAACAAAATAAAGAAACAGTGAGAGAAATGAAGGCAGGAATGTCTTTACTTATAACTGCCAGCTTGTTTATAATTGTAACAGCAGCAATGTTACACTTTTTTAGTTGGGGCCATAAGGGGGCCACAATTTCTGTTCAGGGGCCAAATGGATGCTTTCTAATTCAGTGAGCTCCATAATGATCTCATAATATCTCTAAATACATTTGTTATAAAGAGAACACTGAATTTCGTGATGATTTAGCGTGAGGTGGTCAGGATAGCTGTCTAAAGTCAGCCTTTTTCTTGTCTTGACGTTCTGATAAAATCACCCGTGTTTTATACGTTTTTAGTCTTGTCTCATGCAAACAGTGACCACTTGGAGTTAGTCTAGTTTCAACTTTCACTCCAATCCAGAGAGCTTTGGTGATGAGAAATAAGATGAGAAGTACACAGAGTAGATGCTAACTAGTGACTCAAACACACGTTGACGACATTC